CCTTCTCATTTGCTTCAATGCACCATTAGCCAGCACATCTACAACCTTGGTATTCATAACATGATACTCTTGCTCCATCTTCAGTCATCGATGGACAGAATGACAAAGTTCCCTCCTTCCTCACACTAGTAGGACTTTACATGTCAATGTCAACACCATAAACCAGCTGTCCAAGTCCTCTCATCCCACAATTCTGTAGCGTGAAACGATACCGCGACCTTCTAAAGACTTCTAAAGAGACTTGTGGACGTGTTTCCAATACTCATCATTCCTTTGTGGATCGCCAGATGGGTCACCTAGATGTTCACAGCATTCTTCAAGCTTGGCCGAATGCTGAGGCATAGAGAAGACATTGGTAAACTTGAAATACTGCAGCACGAACTGCTCGATCATAGAGACAAGCTTTTCCGTAAGTAGTCTGCTTCTGCTTCACATTCATGCATGTCTATCAACTTGTTGTAGATCTATCCCTTTCACCCATTAGTGGTGTCTACCCGTTTCGCTCTAAAGGTCGGACTCGTATAAACCAGGGTGGTGCATCACTTGATGTAAGCAGCACTAGCCCCACACCTTCGATTTCTACCAACAGAAATACAATTTGTAGCCAATTCTTAGATTTAGGAATGTTCGATGCATACATGCAGGCAACACATGACTTACTAAATACCCAACAGGTAAGAGTGTCTCTGACATGACCGACGCGACAGAGAACTTACACTTTGTTCTGGACCAGTATCCAGTTAACCATCCTGACCGTATCCTCGCTCCCATCAACCTGGCGTGGGCTCGTTTTCAATGCCATATCCACGAGGACGCTCACGATTTGACTCTATTACATCTCTGGGCTGCAATATCCTTGCGTTGCATTTGAATTCCGCAAGGTTATCCAGATCATCCCATGTCTCTGTCATCTCGCCGACGCACTGGCTTGGCGCCACAACAAGAAAACGTGCTGCTCCTGACATCCGCGAAGCCGCCCAAGACGTATTTATAAATGTAGAGCGAACTTCACAGACAAACAGCACACTGCGCAAGCATATCTCCTTGAATGTGAGCAGGACTCATGCTTTCGACGAACTCTAGCTTGACCCTCTCGCCACTAAGATGCGAGTGAGTGTATGCGACTCCTTCGACCTCAAGATTTTGAGCAAACGTTATTGTCTAATCGTTCTTCTTACTGGTTGGTTTGTTGTATGTGCGCCACGAATGATCCATTTTGTTCCAACAATACTTGGAAATTGGTTCCGAGGATGACCGCCTGCGCCTGCAGGTTTCTCGCTATTCACCCTCGTTATCCCAATATGAATGTGGTTGATGGCACCTGCAGTACCGGATCTGCTTGGCTCAATGAAGCAACCTGATCAACGAGCCACAGTCCTGCTAGAGCTACTCAGTGCATCACCCTGGAGCAGCTAGGATAAACGGGGGTGCTGAAAGGGTCCACAGGCACCACTTGAGTGGTCGAGTACTTCTCTGAGGTCTAGAAACAGCTATCTTTCAGCAATGGCATCAGGAACGAACAAAGCTCCACCAGCCGCTACGATCTTGACTGCACTACTGAGATCGAGTGCTTGAACCCCAGTATCGGGAGATCACTACTCATAGTTCGCCAAAAGTTCTTGTATGTCTTATATCTACTTCACCACTCAAATAAGCACCACGACGAAACTTGGAATAAATGAAAACAAATCATCCCGCTCTATGCACACTACCTGCCCATCGCAAATCATATTGAGCTGCTCTGAGCATCTCCCGCGCTACACACTACTGCTAGTTGACACATAGACGTGCTCCTGAAAAGCAATTGAAGTCATAGCAGTTGCCATATCAGACTTGGCCACGAGCTCTGCGTGATATTCTCATACGCCGAGGATGAGGTGTGGTCCCAGCACGTTGCGCAAACACCTGCGCGATCTCACGGATTTGAGCGAAACCAAGATAAATCTGATTCGGAGTGTCCGGGGAATATACGTCCTATAAAAATAATGAATCATGGTTGCATGTGGAGGTCGGTGACAGATCGACATGCTGCTGAGAGTGTTGGAAATAATAAACCGATGTGGAAGCAAGCCATAGCCAGAAAACTAGCATGTGCAAAAGCATCTGCAGAACAAGAGAATCACATTATGAGCTCACCTTACAAAGTAACTAACGTGAGTTTGCATTAACACCGCGAAACAGTCCTCGATGATATCACTTGTTGAGTGTTTTCGTAGTTCACGGACGTGCAAAGCCGTCTCTTCCAAATATATTTGCAACATCAAATAACTTATCTAAATACTAAGATAACATTGGCCAGGCCTACGCTCAAAACACACAGTAAATAAGAATGAAGTCAGTTTGGAAACTGGATCGAAGACAGGACATAACTTGGAATAGATAAAAACACAAACTGCTCTCTACGGACTAGCCGCTGATTGGTAATGATATCGATCGAGTATCTCCTGCGCTACACAGTACTGCTGGTTGACACATGGACACGCTCCTGAAAAGCAATTGAAGTCATAGCGGTTGCTGTATCGGAGTTGGCCACGAGCTCAGCGTGGTATTCTCGAACACCGAGGATCAAGCGTGGTCCCAGCACAAACAACTCCACGAACTGGAGTATGTTCATAAGACTAGAATAAAGCTGGATGTCCAGGGTATCCGTGTCCTATAGAAATGATGAATCATGGTCGCATGTAAAGGTCGGTGACAGATGACATACTGCTAAGAGTGTCGGAGAGAATGAACCGATATGGAGGCAAGAGATAGCCAAAAAGCTGGCACATGCAGAACGTGAACGGAAAAAGAGAACTGCATTCAAACTGTGAGCTCACCTCGCAAAGTAACTCACATGAGTTTTCATTAACACCGTGAAACAGTCCCCAAGAATACCACTTGTTGAGTGTTGTCGTAGTTCACGGAAGTGCTTTACAGCAATCCAAACCGCGAGACACAGTACAAGGACCTCCCATACAGTGCCAAGTATCCATGACATGGAAACCAGAATTAAGGAATCTCCCGTGAGGTCAATCATGCACTGATAGGTACCAGAGAGAACTAATTCCTCTGGTATTTGTCAATAAGCCTGGTGCACTTGAACTTTCATACATAATTAAAGCTTACCCCCTAAAATCTGCATTGTCTTTATTGCGACCATCACTGCGTTGGCGATTCTGATGGCCAGAAAGATGACAACGAGAAATATCAGCATCTTTCTGGATCGCTGATACATGGCATGCAACCGAGCGATCATGATCACTTGCATGATATTTCAGTTAAGTGAATATCACGGAAGTGTGTAGCTCACCACCCAGTATTACATCTACAACGTCACCCATACAATTAAGTACATCCATTATGATAAGACCTGACAAATCCAGCAACATTAGTTATCAATCTCGGAAGCTCACAGGCTCGAAACAAACTCACAACTGTGGGAGTCGTTATGTTGAATCAACGAGTTGTTCGAGGATCTCACTCACCCCTGCATGGTAGTTCAGTGTTTGGATGGGAAATGAAGGCATCAGTGTGGAATACGCACTGCATCTGTCACCGAAATTGTTGGAAGACTGACTGTATGTCGCCCATCACATGAAAGAAACAGACTATATGCGGGGAGACATACTCAACATGTTCATCCTGATCGTCAGAGATGAGTAATGAACGCAATATCCATGGCTTAAACATCCAAACGTACACAACATATCCTATTCCAGCATAGCGCACCTAGGATATTTTGAAGTCAGCAAAACTTGGACTCGCTAAGCGTAAATATTGAAACACAAGGCACATACACTGAGATAGAGAAAGGTCATCAGGGACCAGCGTTGCCTCTGCCGTCAAGAAGTTATATTTTCATGTCGTTCTTTTGATGTGGGAGTCCACTCACCCAGATCAGTTCAATCTATAATACAATTATAAGCGAGTTGGCTGCTCCAGTAATGGATCAACGTACCTCTTGTCCGAACGTAAGCGCTAAGAATACCATCAGGATATCAGTGGTCTTTCATACTTAATATTGCTCACCCCAATCGTACACCAGCCCGACACAAGCGGCAACTGTGAAATTGGAGTCAAGGCGAATTGAATCATCACCGTCATCATGCGGCTGGCTCTGAACGAACCTAAAAAATAACTGCCAATAAGATTCGCATTGATCAATGGCCACCAATTGAGATCATTCGAGACCAGAGTCATACTATTAGAGGATGAGAGCGAGCGAGCGGGAGAACTTGGTGGGCGATAACGATTGCATTCGTGCTTAATATACCATAATCTAGCGTTTATATCACTGAAGTGATATCTGAGGGATGATATCTGTTCTGTCGAAGTAAGTGTTTCAGCCTAAATTCCACTAGAAAGACAATGTGCATCCAGAGATGCCGATGGGATCAAAATAGAAGCTGTTGATGAGATCGCAAGGCAGTAACTCGCGCGGAATATGTGAACATCGCAAAAGATCGGAATAAGCACTGTTCGTGTTTTCGGCAACCTGCCAGTGCGATCTGCGAAGTATTCTTTCGGTATTCGGTATTCTTGCTGCGGTCGAGTGAGGGGTTCGGCCTTGGCCATTGATGAGACCATTTAGATCATTAATTTGACACAGACCAAGTCGACCTCGTGGCAGACATTGTTAATTACGATACAAGCAGAATCCACGACCTTTCTTCTGATTCATGCACACGCTGATTAGTACAAATGCGACCAAAAGTACATACATGCGTCGTATCCAATTCCCTGTCATAAAACACGATCGACGTGTGTAGCGACGAGGGTAGTCGTACAAAGAGGGGGAGAGAGGGGAGATTGCACAAAAAAGGAGGGGATTGTTGTACAAAGAAAGAACAATCAAATGATGTGGACAGGAACGGAGGCAGTAGGAACGAAAGCGATGCCGAATGGGCGGTGATGTTACACGCTTGAATGCGAAGTTAATGAATGTGCGATGACTCCAGTTTGGTGGCTGATACGTATGTAAGGATGGGATGGGACTGATGCACTGGTGAATGGATAGATCAAGGTCGTCGGCGGGCTTGAGAAGCAAATAGCCAGTTGGGAGAAGGGAATCGGAGAGACGTCTGCCGTTCGTTGAAAGGAGAATTTCCCCCATCTGTAAAAAAACCGTCCCAAGGAGACGCAGAGACTGATATTGATGAGATAAAGAAACTGAAACATAGGGAGTGTGAACTGTGCGTTTAATGGCACGAACGAGAGCGACAGTGGTCGCTTAAAAGAAGAACGAAGGAGTGTGCAAGCGTGCATTATCACGCATAATGAGTAATGAACGAGCGAGTGTGGGCGTCCTAGGAAATACAGAATGAAAAATGGATCGTCAGCATAAACAAAGTGAGGGACAGGCGAGACATACCTTTGAGGATTGGAAAACGAAAAAGACCAGTCAGGAGCGAAGGCATGAGCGGAAGAAATAGGAGGGAGGTCAAAGTGTAAGGTGGAGGCGAACAGGACGAACAGATAAAAACTCGCAAACAAAGGACCGACACCAGATCAGTTTTTTTTAAAGACAGCAAGAGAAGATTGAGAAAAATAAGCAACCATAAGTAAGAAGCAACCGAATGGCAAACAAAAATGACGCAAAGAAAGAGAGACGCCAAACAGAAAAGAAATCAAAAGAACTCGTCAGATGAAGCAGATATAACGATCGTAAAAGACATACAAGTACATCGAAATCCAAGATATACAAAGACGAAGCCAGAGGGGACGAAGAGATCAAAAATGAAGCATCAAAGATTGGATAAGATAGATGTCTGCAAGCACTGCTCATACCAGACCATCGAAAGTGAAATCAAGCAAGCTGAAATGCACTCCCAAGCGCAACCATCCCACTCTCGCCAGACAAGACAGGACTCGCAGCCCTCAAACTCCCAAATGAGATCCTGCGCGCGGTACGGCGAAGCGTGCGTGGACGCGTCTGGGTAGCAGGCAGAGGCGTAGCAGGCATACCCGGAGACATGGAAGGCGTATTCGGGGATGCAGTCACGGGAGATGCGAGGGATACCGCAACAGGAGATCCGATGGGAGACGACAGTGGGATACGTGACGGGGGCGATGGAGTTGCCTGCGGACACGGGAGTTCTGGACCAAACATCGAAGGGTTTCGCATGAGGTTGCGGCGGATGGGCTTTGGCTTCGTCGTCTTCGGCTCTTCTTTCTCCTTTGCCTTGGGTTTCGCCCTTGGCACAGACACGGGCGAGGCAGGTGTAGAGAGCGAGACGGTTGTTGCAGCAGTCTCTACGCTCGCCGTCGAAAATTCATTATCGTTATCCGACGAGCTAGAGGAAGCCTTGGGCAGTGAAAAAACGCTCCGCCCAGACTCACGTTTCCTAGTCAGATCCTTGTGCACAGACGATGTAGTAGTAATTTGCGTTGATGCCAAAACTGGCAGAATCTGTTGTGTGTGTGCATCTGAGGACGCGATTAAGGACCACGAAGGTTCCCTTGTACGGGGCTTCTTCGCACGGTGAGAACGTGCTTTCTCCTCTTCGTCAGAGGAGACAGATAAGGAAGGCATGTGTCCCTTGCGGAATTTAGGCTGCTTGATGGGTGTGGCTGCTTTGATTGCGGTGGTGGGTAGCACTCGAGGTTTGGATGGAGGTGTCTTTGGCGAAGAGATTACGGGGAGAGCGGGGACTTTAGGTTTTGTTTTTGAATGGGGCATTTTGACGTTCTTCGTTGACGGTGTTCTTGGAGTAGCAGACTGCATAGGGACTTTCTTGACCTTTACACCAACGATAGCTACGTCAGGGTACCCTCCGCTACGGCGAAATTCAGCAGTCTTGGACAGATTCTCGCCGTCACCTTCCGGATCCACGCGCATGTCGCAGGAGCTTGCGAGAGTTAACGTGGATGATCTACGCAGGGAGGACGGACGGAGAGGCGCCGATGCAGAAATGGGAGTGCCAAAGGTGGAGTTCGAATTCGAAGACGCAGTCGACTTTCGTATATTGCTCTGAGAGGCATTGAGCGTTGATGAGCTGGGTGTTGAGGGAGCAAGGGAATGTTCTGTTGGACGACGCAAGTGAGCAGGACGCAGGTACGGGTGGTGGAAAGTGTGCTCGTGTCGTTGCAGACGGTGCGAAAGGCTGTGTATAATGAGATAAGGGAATAGAACGGAGGGAGGGACGTACCGAGCAATGCTCTCCTTATGGTCAGGCTTCGCGTCGGTCATGAAATCCATGCTGGATTGCCTGTACAGTGGGTGACGCTTAGGAGTGTTTGTGGTAGGTTGAAGTACGTCTGGTGAAGTATCGTTGCGCTCAGCACATTTGCTCAAATCTGCCGGATGATGGACATTGCCACTGAGAAAGATAACGTCCTCATCAATAATAGACTTCCTCCGCTCCTCCATTGCTCTTGCACGGGCCAGGTCGAGCAATTTAGCACGCGTTGCGGTGACGGAATGGGGCCAGTCATTTGGGCCTTTAGCAGCAGTGATACCACGTGCAATCTTGTCAAGAAGGTTCGGAGGTGGAATTGAACCGTTGAAAGGCGTGATAAGATGAGAAGGTAGTGCATCCAAGGTCTAAGATGAATTTTAAGATAATTACTTGACGAAAACCGAAATTCAACTCACCCTGCCAAGTAATCTAACCTCATCCTCCTTCCACTCTACGCTTGGGTCGTCAAAATCATAGTTTGAGCTATTCCATGAATCACAACTGTTCCTATTTGGAGCCGGGGGCGAAATGAAAATATGAGACGCGACTGGGCTACGAGAAGGAGTCCGTGGAGCAGAAGGAACGAAAGAACTTGTTGAAAGACGCGGTCTGATAACTGAAGGAACATGTGGACGGGGGATGATGAGAGCGAGCGGGGAAACTTGAGCAGACATCAAATGAGTGACTGGCATCGAATTTATTAGGGAACGAGTCGAATGGCGCCGACAATCTTGAATGTCCTCGTCGTCGTCGTCGTCCGGGGGGAGAAACAATGACCATGAGGCACAAAATTACATAATCAACCATATTACTAGGTCCGACAACTCCGACCGGAGCAGATCATTGTCACGTCGTGGCGCAGTCTATATATGAAATCAAGAAGACTTCTCATACGTACTTTGATGTTTCAAACCGGGGCACTTGTTACCACTGCCCTTCCATCTATACGGCGAGACCCGTCCTGGGCGCTTCGCACAGGCGATTGAAGGCAGATATCGGCGTTTGACATGTCTATTTGACGTCTTGTACCCCACACCACTATGAGTCATGGTGAGTGAGTATCCCCAAGTGAAAAGGCTCGAAGGGGTTCAAGAATACAGTCCATCTTACAAACAAGGCCTAGATCACCATAGATTGGGGTAAGGACCGTTAGAAGCAGCGGAGCATAAACTCGTCAAGAGCCGACCTCAGCGTTTAGTACACACGTGCTCTTCATAGGCTGTGACAAGTGACTGGAGTACGTACGACCCTGGGACTCCATGCCTTGGCGCCACGAGAAAAATCACATCTCAAGTTCGATAGAAACAGTAAGAACACTGATTCGTGGCAAGCCAATCTAAGCGTGCTCTAACACGTGGGCTATGACAATGTAGAGACATCCAGATCGGGTTTTGGACGACTCTGGAATGTAATCCCTCGGTGCCATAGAAAAATCGCTGCTCAAGTCAGATAGAAGCAGTGGAAACATATGGACACCCGAGTACATAGTAGTAGGGACCAAAGGAGGGACAGTGTGAACATATACAGTTACTCCACTGGTCCCCACTAGACTGTGGAAAACATCGAGAAGGTAGATTCATCACCAAATTTTGCAGCCAACTTCTCGCGCATGGTCCTTGATACTTGGATTTTGTATGGCATGTAGAAATCATTGAGAGCGTGTTGCCATGACAACTCCAGCATTGGCACCAAAAGGAAGTATTTTGTGGCGTGCAGTTGGCGTATGATAAACACGAGGTTCCGTAGTGCGCTTCCGATGTGGAAGATGATATTGCTCAACAACCAAAAGGTTCAACGTTTAGCGCAGCGTCGAAGTTTCATACTTAATATACACAGTACACCCCATTAACGAGGCTGGTATCCCGCGTACGCTATGTATGACCTTCAAGCCATAATTCAGCCCACCATCATAACGAAATAAGAATCAAGAATAACGAACTCACCTCCGTACCACAAAATCTAAATAAATCACGCAGCTTGCGCCAACTTCCGTTCTCTTCGTTCAGTAATCTCCGCGCGCTTCTGTGCAAGCATAACTGCCGCACGTTCGTCCCACTGGTACGCCCAATATCCAGCATAACCAAAAACGCCCATTGACAATGCGTGTCCCCCGAGGTCTGCTCATGACGTTAGTATCAGTATTATACCTGTGGCATAACGAACGCTATGGTGAATGAGGATACATACTCTCCATGAGATTTCTCTTCTTTATTGCAAGCTGCCCGAAACGCGCTGCAAGACCGAATAAGGAGAAACCAGCGACTGTGCCAAGGAGTGCCATCGCGTTTCTGTTTGTTTTGATGTAAATTCCACTGGGCGGGTAGAGTTCAATTGTGCGGGAGATGTCGCGAATGTCGAGCTTGTTAACCGAGCCAAATACGGACAAATAAGCTTCTCACTCATAGAATTTACCTACAGTGTTTGCCTTGCGGTTTGATATCCAGTGTCCACCAAAGTCTCAGAAACCTCTAAACTTGTGCACGGATCGTTCACCAGTTCCCGGAAGAGCTCCTCGCCGACCCTGCGATGAAATTTGCCTTGGTGTCTTCAAGATCTCCTAGCACCTATCCGAAGAACACACAGTCTACTATCTGGCCAGGCGCAATGATCCGAGTCATCCTATCCCCCATGTTTACTCTGAGTTTCGTTTTAATCTAAGGATGGTATGCTTGCACTGTGTCTTGCAGTTTGGATTGTTGTAAAGAACCTCCATGAACTGCGACGATCATCGGCAGGCGGGATTATCACAGTCACGTAGGTCACTTTGCGAGGTGTGTTCATAACGTGAATGTGGTTCTCTTTTTTCCTGCACGTGCTAGCGTTTTGGCTGTTTCTTGCTTCGAGATCAGTTATCTATCACCAACGTTCTCAGCGGTACGTCGATCTGTCGCTGACCTCTGCATGTGAATATGGTTCATTATGTCTATATTCCTTAAAAAAAATCAGATCTATCTTGGTCTTTCTTGCTCGCGCAATTGTTTTTACTGGGACCACGCCTCGTTCTTGGCGTTCGGAAATGTAACGCTAGGCTTGTTGCCAACCACGATGCAGGGACCTCTATGACTTTGATTGCTTTCCAGGGGTACGTGCATTGTCAACTAACAGCAGTGTGTGGCACGGAAGATGCTTTATGTGGTTGACCTTCGTCGGGTGTTCCGTAGGGATGGGGGGGATTTGTCTGTCGCTCCAAGTTTCATCATAGTTTTCAAATAATTTATGTCGTGATTCGATGATGTGAAGGAGAAATAGGCCTGGGCGAACCAATTACTATTAACTTGTTGTATCACTTGCTGCCCACCCACACTCATACCGAGTGGCAAGCAGAAACCACGTGCTTAGATTCGAAGGCCTCGTAACAAAGCAAGTCCCTTAGCGCCTGAATACCGGGAGTGTAGAATTCAAGTCAAATCTATTCAAGTACACGTTGTTTTCAGTCTACCTGCGTGTTTTGCGACGAGCCCTGACGTGCGCACCATATGCAGGTGGGACCTCGGGACGCGCTTCAGTTTAAATACCTCACGATTCAAATACTTGCGCATCACGTTACTAAGAGAACTATCACATATTCGACAGACTGCACGTCTAAAACGACCAGCAGGGACGACAGACAAGCGGGGTCACACTCACGCTGGGGCATTCGCGAGTCCAGAGATATGGCGTCGCGCTACTAGATGATGTTTCAAAAGTGAAGAGGGAGTCAGTTACGTGATTTACGTCTAACCTTGTCGGGACTCGGCAGGACCCGAACTAATAGGGACCAGAAAGTCAGTACTACCCATTGATTTCCCAAATTCCTAAGTCTTACTATCACTACTCCTAAATTTCTCTGTCCTACCATTAATTCACCCAACGATGTCAAATACAGACACCTCTATCTCATCTGCTCAAGCCTCGGAGATCATCGAGTCGGTATCATCACCTGGTGTCGTGCAGGATAGCCTGCGCGATGCAAACGTCAAAGTACATACGCAAGCGGAATTGTCCACCGTAGAGTCAAAGTTAGCCACCGCACGCTCGAAGAAAGACACTGGTGATGCTGCGTTCAAAGTAGGAGATGTCAAGAGTGGTGAGTGGCGCATCCTTTGCATTGTTAATTGGGTGATCCTTATATCATGTGCAGCATTGCGATCGTACCATGAGGTGAGGATATGACCAGGGACTTATATGGTGTACAGACGACCTCTAACATAGCTACTACGTGAAGACGCTTCTGTATCTTCACGGCATCGATAAGTACGGTTGCACTATATTAGCTGATGTTCATGCTTTGCGATCCTGAATCCTGCAGAAACGCGCTTAAATCGCTTGGAATGGGTGGTCCATCATCTCTGTCGGCAGTAGATCAAGCTGCTGGTGCAAAAGACGTAACGACTGAGGTACGAACACCGAGGTCTGTCGATCAATAAAAGGTAACAGGAGATCTTTGCTTGACAGGCAGATATAATTCTGGAGAAAGTATACGCAAATATGTCCGCCTGTCATATCAAACAGGAGAACTGGAAGCGGGCAGTGGATACCGCTGACAAGGTTTGTCGCTTTCCGACAAAAATCTCTCTCGCTTAATTTTGTAGGCTCTCGGCAAAAACGCTGCTAATTCCAAAGCACTTTTCCGAAAAGCAAAAGCTCTTGGAGAGCTTGGATTTTTCGAGAAAGCGGAGACGGCTCTCAACGAGATCAAGAAGGTCGCTCCCAACGGTTTGTCGTGTTTTTGATTCTATTTCGGAATATATTGTTGACCAACGAATATGTACTACTTACGACCATCATCCAGAGGCACCCATGGCTGATGCGGAACTTGCGCGTCAGAAAATGATGGATCGTGAACGGCAAAAGGTTCATGATCAGAAAATGAGAGGTAAGATGTTTTTCTCGGATACTCTTTCTCCCTGCTGACTCGGAGGTTGGTCACGACGATAGGCTGGCTTTCACGAGAGAAGAAGCAGGTTGCGAGCGAGTAAATGGTCTGGAGCGAGGAGATGTACAGCGAAAGCTGACGATACCACGTGTATATTGTAATTTTCTGAAGCAATCATGTTTTTTTACAGCCTAATTCATCCCAAAGTATACCGATCAATTATATACGATGAGAATTTGGGCGAGCATTGATTGCACAGCCACCTTTGAGACCAGCAGGATTAGTACCCAGATTCGGCACCCGTGACCCGGTAATCATGGGCATCGAAATCCTGTCGTATCTTTGCCTCACGCTGAGGCTTTTCTTACTTCAACACCATCACCATGGCGGTTGGGTTGTCGTCGCTTCCTACGGAGCTGATATGTCACATCCTACTCTTCCTTACCCCTAAGGACCTTTGTCGTTGTGCAATTGTTTGTTCTTCTCCTCTGTTCTGTATTTTCGCGGGGGCTAATTTCTGAATCATGTCAGACCTGCAAAATTGTCCGGGTTGCAGCTCAAAATTCGGTCCACATCCAATACAAGCTCGAGCTTTATGCCCAAGGCCTCAATGAGACCGATGCCATGGGTGCAGACTCTATCAGTGTTGTCAGAAAGATGTGCTCACTCAAGAGCCTGGTATCCTTGTGGCGGTCCAGTTTCCATGTCAATACCGTTTTCCAAGATGTGGTTACTTCAGACCAACATTTCCTAGAATCACAGTCCGTGAAATGTGGGACTTTGTGGGTACGGAGAACGAACAGTCTTTTGATTCGAGATTGCAAGAAAAAGACCAAACACCCTCACGTGTGGCCCGAACATGACTTGTTCAAGCAACCCAGACATCCACACGGCTTGATTATGCATTCAGTCGTCTTCGACCCACTGCAGGATCTTGTAGTCGCAGTCTCATCGCCTCCTGTGTTTAATTTGGACGATGCTCAGCAAGATCACCTCGTCTTTTGGGTCGAGTTTTGGTTGGCTTCATCCCAGCTTCCACATCCGGAGTCTGCGTGCACTTCGTTGGAGTGCAGACATCCCTATGAATTTCCTACACTTGATACCTATCTTGTTCGTATCGTGGGTAGGCCTGCAATCTGTGGGGATCGTATAGTTGTGCTCTATTGCACAAAACATCGCACTTCATGGAACAACACAGCATCCAATATGTTCATCCAAGTTATAGATTGGAGGAAAGGACATGTTGAAAGAGTAAGTCCACTCTACTCTTGAAAACTCTGCCGCTTAGCATAAGCAGCATGCTTTATGTGAACCAGGGGATGAATTACATGCAAGTTTACATCTAGTCGATAAACACACAATTGTTATCGTCAACTCAAAAGGTCATATAGTCTTGTACACATTACAAGGACTTGATGGATCACCTCGGCGTCGAATCACGTATCTCCTTCCGATTCTGAAACCCGGCCTTGATCCATCTCCAGAGTTAGCACCCACCTTGCCATACTATGTTATTTATACCTCCCCATCGTTCCACGGCGCAGCAGCTCACCCAGATCTGATGCCTAGCTATGTACCCTCCCCAGAGTCACAAATCGTGGTTTTAGAAATTCTCCCCATCTCATGGCCCGTAATAATGGTCATTGATATAGCCATGTTTGCAGAAAAGGCCATACGATCAGAGACTCCTATTGAGGTTCCGTGGTCAGACTGGGGACCTAAGTATACGTGGTGCTTTCCGCATCATCCAAGCCACCGAATCAGCGTGTTCGGTAGCAAAATGGCGTATACTCTTCCTCGAGATCACACTCCTGAACCTGGTCAAAGGGTGGAAGCACTTTCCTCCGAGGATCACTTCTACGTACACATCTGGGACTTCAATAAGCGATTTATTGCTCGCTCAGAAAATATACACGACCCCGATTCACCAGAAGTTGTGATTCGCAAGCCTGGTCGGCTTGCTCAGTCGTGCTTTGATGAAGACTTGACCTCGAACCGTCCTTACATTGCTTCTGTCTGCGCCGAGGCTTTTCCGATGCATCGCTTTGATAGGGTTTTCTTGGAACAAGATCGACTTACTTTAACAAGGGTAGGTGTTTTTTGTTATGATTTGAGATACGGTGATTTAACATGGCACAATCATAGTTACCTGCTGGCTTCGTTGATATCCAGGTTGTTTCACCCGTACCGATGGAGGTTGGCTTGGAACCAGAAAGGCGCAGGGGAAAGTTGCTATAGTACAGCATAAATGTTTCAAGGCCCTCCCAAAGGACAAACTTACGTTGTCGTTTCGGAAGAACTGTCCTTGACATGGGTAGTGTTCTTAGTTGCGACTCGAATCCACCACGATAATTCACGCATGGTCAAACTGTAGGCTCGACCTAGTTCAGTTCACATGCTGCGTCCATTCCCTCAGGCCAGTGGATGAACACACTGCGCATGGTGTCGCTCCTTCAGGTGAGCCAATGAACTTATCTCGCATAGGTACGCAACGTACTCGGAATGTGAGATTGGTCGATTTCTGAGATCCTTCCATATAAGCAACCAGGGTGTCCATAACTGCACTGTCCGTGCGTATGTAGTCTACAGCTGGGAAAATGAGCATATTGTAGTCCATCGCAGAAGCGTGTGTGCAATAAGTATTGATATAACGTAGACCATCACAAAAGCGTCCGTGTAGTTAGTAGTATCCATCTCTGAAGTGTCCGTGTAAGTAATAGCGTCCATACCACAGTCCGGCAAAACAAACAATGAAACGTCAGCACCCAAAGAAGGTTAAGATGAGACGTAGGGACAGGATGTACATGTCTGATAGGAATGTATCCTCTTGCAATGTGTCACTGTCCGGCAAGGGCCCGGTGGTAGATATCTTCATTGCGCAGTCGTTGGCACATGTGGAGAGAATGTACGGGAGACAAGACGTTGCCAAAATATGGAGGTCAAGTAGGAGGCAGCGGAATACACTCCTGACTGAAGTCGGACGAACCCAAGTCACTCCAGTTGAAGTCAACAGCCCGCGTTCGACGCGTGGCTATCTGCGCAGGAAACCCAACTCCCAAAGGCGAGCCCACTGCTCGAGGATTCCGTACAGCAGACGCCGAAATAGCTGCGCCCTGCATATCCTTAAGCTTGATGGGATACGTTGGTTGTGGGGCTGCGATGTGTAGCTGCCTAATCGCGGAGTCCCGCTTGCTTGTACAAGATGGTGGTCGACACAACTTGGCTACACCATAATTGAGACAGGGGCGGGTTTTCGAAGTTTTCATGGGTGTCCAGGTGCATACCCTTCCCGCCTTTTGGCAACTTAAACACAGTGGCTGCTCCCCGGAACACTGTACTTTGTCGTCAGAGGTACGAAAATGAGGGTGATGGTTGTTCCTCACTTTCTTTTTCTTATTGCGGCATTCATCACAGGCATGAACAACGCGAGGTTGAGCACGTTTCAATCGCACTGGCCCAGTCAGCTCGTGAAGCGGAGCATATGATCCCTCAGGAGAAACGGTTTGGCGAGCCTGCATATATAATTCCCTAGGAGACATGTTCTGCTGAGTGACGGCCAGAAAATCTCCAGCCGGTGAAGATGACGTGTTACTGTAGTACGGGCCTGCACTACTGAGAAATTGTTCAAAAAGTTGGAGTGTGACCATGAGACTCTCGTGCCAAGCTATCTCGTCAAAGATAGGATATAAATTTATCGCCTGATCAGCAGGCGCCCGAACCGGTATTGACAGGAATTCCAGTTCAGGCTGGTTGAGGGAGCAGAATGCGGGGTAAGTCCTCAGTGACATGATAACAGAAGGCAAAGCAGGGTAAGATAGGAGTCAAACTTGAGCGCTAACGCTCAGCCGCTGAGCAAGTGTGGAGCAAGCAGTGCAACTTCAAGACATTTGAACTTGGACTACACCGCAATCGTAACATCCAAGTGAAACATTTGGCAAATATAAATGCCAAATATTCCGTCCACATTATAAGCTTCCCAGAAGCATTTGCTAACATGTAACCTAGACCACATGTTGTGTTATGAGAAGAGATCATGAAATTTCACGTCCATCATGATGTTCCCGGTCCCGTGACCTAATTGTCGGACTGGCAAGCTTGTGAAATCGACTGCCTCTGTCGATGACCCGGTAAAACTAGGAACCAAACGGGATGCGAATATATAACAAGGCTGCTCGCGTCCGGTTAGTTGTTCCGCGTCACCCATCTGAGTAGCCTCCAATTGTATCCTCCTTGCAACTTCACATGGGTAAACAATTTCCTGCATCTGAGCTCAAGCGAGACGAGTCCCTCAGAATCGTAGACAACCGCACTGGGAAGGAGTACACTGTCCCGTGCGTCCCTCTTCCTCAGATTTTCAACTCCAATTGACATCATGCAGGATCACCCACAACTCGATTCCTGCGAACTTCTTCAAGGGCATTCGTGCTACTGCGGGTGCAAATGACAGACCTGAAGACGAGACAGAACGTGGTTTACGTGTTGCTGATAGAGGTTTTCTCAACACAGCCGTGATTGAGAGTCATATAACATACATTGACGGTGACAATGGGGTGTTGCGGTACAGGTACGTACGCATTCTCCTCCTGTCACTACCACTCATCAAATTGCGTAGAGGTTATCCAATTGAGCAACTCGCCGAACGCTCCAGCTTCCTTGAGGTTTCTTACCTCCTCATATATGGCGCGTTGCCTAGCGCGTCCCAATTGTCCCACTTCACCAGCGAGGTCCTCCTCCACGGGCCAATACATTCTGACGCAGAAGGATTCTTTCGCGCGTTTAGGTACGATGCTCACCCCATGTCAATGCTTACGAGTGCCTTTGCATACTTGGGAAGCTACTATGGGGAGGCAAATCCGAGTCTGCAGGGTGAGTTAGTAGACCTGGAGTATTTTCTCATTTTCGTGACATTTTGTAGGGCAAGATTTGTTCACCAAAGCTGCCAAGGGTGATCCTGCTGCACTCCAGAATATGGATAGGCAAATATTCAGGCTGATCGGCAAAGCTACCACATTAGCTGCGTGCGTACTAGTAGTAGCCCACTCATTCGTTCACTGATGATAGCATATGTAGCATGGCATACCGTATCCGCCAGGGCCGCGATTTTGTCGTGCCTCCAACAGGAATGAGCTATGCAGAGTCGTTAGTCACCATTTTACCAGTTTTTGCATCAGTGTATCTCAGACTTTTCATGCGCAAGGTTCCTCTACCAACTCGACCATCTCTCACCTACAGATCACCTATCAGAGCTTCACTCAAACAAACCACATCCTGTTCTTGTAAAGGCACTTGACATCCTGTTTATCCTCCATGCCGATCACGAGATGAACGCGAGTTCGACGACCGTACTTCAAACTGGGTCGTCGCTACCTGATCCGTTCAGCGCCGTTGCGGCAGGCTGTGCGTCACTGTAGTGAGTATTGCTCAGTGTCCTCTTGACCCCACCTCCCGAGGCTTTGTGAGATGGAGTTACCTCCAATGCATTTCTACTTGTGCTTTGCCTTCCTTTGTTCTGTCATGAGCATTCACTTCATATCAATACTGACGGACTTCTCTCCCAGTGGTCCACTCCATGGAGGTGCGAACGAAGCTGTTATTCGGATGCTCGTTTCTATTGGCAGGTCCGTTTTTGTAGTAACTATTTTTATCGTCTCCTCACATCTTTATTAAGTCCCAAGAACGTTCCTGCCTTTTTAGAAGCAGTAAAGAAGCGTCAAAAGGTGCTAAGTGGATTCGGCCACAGAGTATACAAGACTGTGCGTAGTCATTCTCCCACTGTTTGCTGTACTGATGGTTGTTGAGAATCCGCAGTCTGATCCGCGGTCATTCATCATTCGCAAGGTGGCTGATGAAGTGTTTGCTGTGTAAGCGTTTATCATTGCGGCGGGATTGTGGCATTGATATTGGGGTCAAGGACGGGCCGTGATCCATTGCTTGATACCGCGATGGCTCTGCATGATGCAGCACTGAAGGATGATTACTTCGTATCGAGGAAGTTAGCTCCGAACGTTGATTTCTGGAGGTAAAAGTTATCTTTGTCCAATTATTGACATAAACTGACCTGATCTCATCTATCAGCGGGCTGATCTACCGTGCAATGGGTAAGTGCCAGTATTGTACGAAGATGGAAAATATGTAACACAGTAACGGGCAGGCTTCCCAATGGACTTCTTCCCAGTCCTGTTCGTTGTACCCAGAGTCGTGGGCTGGGTTGCACATTGGCGGCAGGTGCGAATGCCATTCGCCTTCCATTCCACCGAATCACTGAATGTCGCTCATATGCAGATGATGCTTTCTCCATCGGGAGTCAAGATCTGGCGCCCTCGACAACTCTACCTTGGCCCGTCCACACGTGACTATGTGCCTCTAGAGGAGCGCACAGGTACTTTCCAAGTCGGTGTCGGCATGGAGCCGAGCGTCATCGAGCATTCAGGGTATGTGCGATCTTTGGTGGTGGGACAGAATACTAATTCACTGGGCAGGATGACGAAGAGGCGGAAATTGGCCGAGGCTGCTGGAAAGGTCAAGAGTAAACTCTGAGTGAGGGTGCAAGATTTGCTATTATATACCGTTGAATGCCATTGATGTCGTCCGAATGTCGAGCTTTTCCGCAAAAATTCTAAAATATCCCGGGTGTGACCTTGGGCGATAAATTTTGTCTCGCTTTCTGGAACACAGTCTAGCACCGTTGGGTGGTCAATGCGTCACAGCTTCGCATTCTGCAGGACTAGCGCCATGACCTCATGAAGGTGGGATCGCATTTTCGTAGCCAAACTAGATTCGACCGCAGTGACAGACTAGATCTGTCGAGATCAAGCTCACCTGCCAGATCTTCGCTTCAAAAGGTCATCCAAGACAAACGAAACAAAGTAACAAAAGTAATCGTATTGCTTCGAGGTGCTAATATATGCCCACATATGCACTAAAGACCGCACTATCTACTCGTCCAGAGCAAAATATAAATATATCAATTATTCCGGGAATCGAGAGAAAGCCTGCCTCAGGAGGAACTCGGCAGGCCAAACGGGACAAGTCCTTAGTTGATCTCATGAGATGTGCCAGTTCTAGTACCTGCTGCAGGCACGTCATATACAGCAGTGGCAAGGATCAGTTCTGACCATCATTGAAAAACAGCTGTGATCTCAAGTACCTGCGGCAGCTGCAAGTAATCCTGAAGTTTTCTTCCCGGTGCGTCTTGCATGCTTGCTATTGGATGCCATTAATTACTTGTCACTCCAAGCAGAAGAAGCCAAACTTTGAGGCGCTGTTTTAAAAGCTTGCATTCATCTCGTACCTCGGTCAACCTGCGGTACGCCGTGTGCTTTTTCAATTCAACACGAACATTTATCAGCCTTTCGGAATTGAGAAGGTGGTATACGAGACGATACAATATGGGCACTGTACCTGCTGAACTCCTCGCTGAACTCATTTTGTTTTTCGTCAGTAATCAGGTCGGCGTTATAGGACAGGATTGTGAGAGCATCTGTCAGAATCTCTTCTATCTCTTTGATGACTTCCTGTGGGGATGGATTATGTGGCCAGCGGAAAGGCATATTGTGGATCTGGTAGGATGAACTTCAGCGAAGCCTTGGAACGTGTTTGTATAATGGATAGATACTAAAGCGTACCTCCAACAGGTCGCATATTTCTATCCCGCGATGAATATTGATCTAGTTGTTGTTCAACGTTGAGGCATCCTCACAGAACTGCAGAATAATAACGATGTTGGTAGGCAAGGAGATAGAAGTCCCGACCAAGACCCACAGAGTCGCCTACGAAAGGGACAAGACAACATGGAGCTATTGTGGAAATCTGGACAGTTCTTAGGAGACGGGCTAGTTCTCCGAGTCTCCATGTAGTTCATGCGCTATTCCATTCAAGCCCGAGAGCCCAGTTATAGCGTCAGTAGTGACGAAGATGAGCAGTTTGATTATTTAGTTTACATGTAGTACATATGCACATGTTTGATTCACGGAGATAGTTTAGTGATTGATTGTTCTTTTTATGAGCAAGATTGAACTCACCAAACGCCTGGGCGCTTGAGCCGCCCACAGATATTGTGATTTCCATAAAGCTTGTGACACAACAGGATTTTTCATGATAGTGAGGGTGCATTGAGCCCCTAATGTATTCACAATGTGGGCTCGCACTGGCCGTTGGTTAGATCTTTGTTTATGCCGTTTTTATCCTGAAGCACTATAATACCCTAATTTCTGTTAAGAATCAGGACTGTCAGCCTCAAAAGTTTGATATCATAGACCACACAGCTCAATATCGAACAGCTATTCATCAACAGCAGTAGGGCGTTCCCGCAGAATCCTCGCTCACCTGGGTTGACTACATTTTTACATAAAGTACTTGTGTCAAGTAATGTTTCAAAGAAGTCAGTTTGACAATGACAATCGTGGTGAATGCGGCGGGGTTCTGAATGTTATTGGTTATTTGTTCGATTCCATCCGGAATCCCCACCTCTACCTTCTCCTTCTGCTTTCACCGTGTCCCACCGGCTTCCCCGTCCGCATATACCCCCGACCCTCCTTGCAAACGACACAATACGCGAATTCACAACATGTTCGCTACACTCTTTTCAGTCACTCTCTTTGCCGCACTTGCCTTCCAAGGCGTATTTGCTGATTTTACGATCGACACCCCCAGCCTCACCCAGGTAATCCATCTGATCATAAATTAGGGTGCTAACTTACCTGCGTCAAATTAGTGTGGAAGTGTTCAAATCAATTGGACGGCGTCAAGCCCTCCCTACGACCTTCTTGTAGTTCCCGCAGATGACCCCTGTGACGAGGCTCTGTGCGTTTATTTGAACCTCCTCTGGCTCATGTAATCTTACGTTCTTGGTCTGCAGTGTTGATCCTGGTCAACAAACCGGTCTTTCATATGAATGGAACGTTGCTCTCGCTTCTGGCACCGAAGTTGTCTTTTTCATCGAAGATTCCCAAGGAAATGAAGCTTGGAGTGGAACTGTGAGCGAAGTGTCTTTATTCAACGAGCAATTTTCTTTAACACAGATACTAGATGACTGTGGGAGCTAGCAGCGAGTCATCATGCCTGACCAGCACACCCCCGACCACCCCATCTCCAGCCGGCACTGCGTAAGTTTTTATGCTGACAATCGATATGCGTTAAACTAACATCTGGGTTGACAGGCTCACAAATCCTGCCACAGCTGCTAACTCCACGACGACGTCTACTACGTACTCTCCCGCTGGCGCTGCTAATGCGGGCCTTGCTCCCTCTGGCGCCTTGTCCATCCGCCCTCTCAGCGCTTTGACCTCCGTTGGTTCTGGACTTTTTGCACTTTTTGCATTAGTTCTGTAACAGCCTTGATACCCATACGGTTACGACGGATAATACCCTGCTGGCTTATTTACAATTATCCTGGTGATCACGCAAATACCTTTATCTTATACACGTCCTTCCACGCACGGAGCTGGGTTTGCTTTCTTTTCTTTTTTTATTGGTGATTTATGGTAGATGCTTGAAGTGTTGCTACTATTTCACTAGATGTGAGGAATTTCATATTCTGGTCAACTGTAATCTGGAATCAATTTTGTACCACGTTTCTACATGTGGGCCATTCGAGGTCTTGGAACTTATTCCAGGCCGAGCTGGTGTGCTCAGTGGCTTCAACAAAAATTATGTTGCAATGTAGTACATGTTTTTTCTCATCCATGATGCATGAAACTGCAGCTGCAATTAAGTTTTTCTTTTCTTTTTTTTGTGGGGTGGAACGGTATTGTTGGAAGGCAACCAAGTCAGCCCGTTGATGTACAGGGGATTCACCAGAGCCGTAGCTGAGTACAGAGTACCCCTGCAAGGAAACGTGTTGCTGTTATGACACCCACGAGTACTCTCACTGGGATTCACTAAAAGTTACACGGGCCATTACGTCATTACAGATATGTGCTAGACACCGTCTGATGCTAACATGGGAACGGTCAGTAATTCATCCACCAGCATACCATGTAACCTGCTTCCAGTTTATGTTTTCGACGTCGATGATACCCGGCCCGATTCACTCATTCTCGTTAATATACAGCAATCGGGACAGATATAGATTTCAACTCGTACTACAGATACATACATGTCACGAATAACTTATCAGTATAAAGTAAGTAACCATCGAAATAATAAAGTAGCGGAGCATAAGTTGTGAGGTACGCTCTCAGCGCTTGCTGTGAGCTGCTAGGATAGGTACAATATATGGGGCTATAAAGTGGTGATCAGCCAAAAACAATTATATGAAGGTACGTAATATTAATGCCAATAAAGGTCTGCATGGGACTGGCCGACTTTGCTGTGTATGCCCGCGTACACAGCCGGAACGCGGAGATCTTCGCTCAGCGCTCATGGTTGATAAAGTACCGGTTTCCGGATGACGTAAAATAACTGAATGTGGTGCGTCAGGGACCAGAACCAGGTGTGAGGCACATACAGGAACTGACCTCAAGAAGCGAGACCTCTTCATGTTCAAGGCCGCCAGAGCTCGCCAGATCTGCGAGAGGGTGCTCCTCCGTCTCGTGCTACTTCTTCATGTTCAAGTCCGCGCCAGAGCTCGCCAGATCTGCGAGAGAGTGCTCCACCGTTTCGTGCTACTTCCTCATGTTCAAGTCCGCGCCAGAGCTCGCCAGATCTGCGAGAGGGTGCTCCTCCGTCTCGTGATACTACTTCATGTTCAAGTCCGCGCCAGAGCTCGCCAGATCTGCGAGAGGATGCTCCTCCGTCTCGTGCTACCTCTTCATGTTCAAGTCCGCGCCAGAGCTCGCCAGATCTGCGAGAGAGTACTCCTCCGTCTCGTGCTACCTCTTCATGCTCGATCCCCTGCCAGAGTTCACCGGACCGCCGGGAAGGAGCAAGTCTGCCTGGTCAAACTGTCAGTAAAAGATCCCGATTCGACGTGTTTGAGAGATCACCTTCTGTAATTGCTGTTGCTGCAGGTGATTCAGAGATCTTGTCATGAACGTTATTCTTCCACAGAGCACCAACGGCAGTGGCCTCACTACTAGAAGTAGAGGAAGTAGCAGTCGCGGTGGTATCAGTAGTTACTGTCGCCACTGGAATAGCAGCACCAAGAACAGTTGAAGTGAGAGCAAGAGCCACTGTGAAGCGAGCTAAAGAAGTCAACATAATAATAATGAAATGAGGTTAAAGAAATGTGTTTATGTAAATGATGTTGGGATTAAAGGACTATGGAGATCTGAACTTTTGAAGTCTCCAAACCATTTATACGAATGACTTCGCTGCTTTGAATGTGCATGCAGTGCGAGAGGCCCCGTTGACAACCGGTACGAGTCATGTCAGGTCTATTCCACGGTGAAAGCACTGTTCATTCCGGAGCAATGATCACTTGTGAGCGGGGTAGGCAGTGAGTTGTGAACGATATTTGTTCCGAGAGGCGTTAATATTCCCGTTTCAAAGAACGAGGCAATCCGGCAACATCAGCCGCTGACTTTATAGAATTAATTTTGTAGATACCGCACGGGACCTAGGCCTGGCTAGCAGAAATAGCATTCAGGACATCGGTGTGAAAGCTCAGCATTCTGACTAGGGCTTGATGGAACGCGGTAGTCAGGGGATGACAAGCCGTGCGCAAGTGACGAGCCCTGGCTTGTGCCGAAACTGCGTTCCTCGATGTCCTGACATAGCAGCCTCGGGTGGCGAAAGGAGCTAAATGACCGAGCGGTGTCGCCAGAGGGTGACGACATTAATAATGATACGGCATCTGATAGTCAGATATGAAGACCTCCGCCTCAATAGTGGTCGAGACTGACGTATGGTACACTGCCAGCATCCTCAGGCTGTGTCCAGCTCGGAGTCACCATGAGCACAAAACCAGTGTTGATGTTCAGGTTTACCGTGACTAGTCAGATTAATTGTTGCGATGATGGTGAATATCAAGAACGGAAGACCCAAAGAAGTCGTATTTTCAGAAAGCTGCGGTACTACTGGGCACAAGTGCTGCCAGTTGTCAATGGATCGTGGAGAATAATGTCAATAATGACTGAGTACCTAGGGGCAGTTGGCTCAATCTTACTTTCTAATTTTGGTTGTGCTGAGCGCGGTCCGGCGGAGTCTCTAACGGACTGCGAAACTTGGCGGCACAGGACTGCTAGGCTTCATGATCAAATCTTCATCACATTGTTTGTTGATCAACTTTCTTGAAACAGCACGACGATGACGGTTGCGATTGGGTTCTTGTCACTCCCAACAGAGTTGATATGTCATATTCTATTCCTCCTTGCTCCCAGGGACCTTTGTCGCTGTGCAATGGTCTGCCCTTTCCGTGATTACATGTTTATCCTATACTAACTTCCGTTTAACGCTAGACATGCAAGACCGTACAGAATGCAGCCCAAAATTCTATCTACGTCCAATACAAGCTTGAGCTGTATGCTCAGGGCTTCACCGAGACAAGAACTCTAAACTCGATCAGTGTTGACAGAAGGATGTCCTCACTCAGGAAATTGGTAACCTTATGGCGACATGTTTTCCACGCCAGTACTGTTTTCGAAGATACAGTGTCCCTTGTCAGCATCTACTCCGCAGGAATACAATACATGAAATGCGGGATTTGGTGGATGTGGGGCAATGACAATCTCTTCATTCGGGACTGCAACACAAATATCAAACACTCTCATTCGTTCCCCAGATACGAGCAGTTCTCCTAGGATGGGTTACCGAGATCTGTGAGATCAGTTGTCTTCGATCCTATTCAGGATCTTGTGGTCGTAGTTCCCTTGCCTGCTGTGTGCATTGTGACCGGTGCCGAGCAAACTCGCCACATCTTTTCGGTGGAGTTTCGGCTGGCTTCATCCCTGCTTCCACATCTAGATTCTGTGGACGCTTCCTTGACGTGCCAACATTCTTTTGAGGAATCTGGTCATTACCGTGTCAATTTAACGCAAGAGCCTGCAATCTGTGGGGATCGTATAGTTATCCTCTATTGCACATCGGGCATAGTGGGGTCCAACGAATTCATACAAGTGATAGATTGGAAAAGGGGGCATGCGAAGAGTGTAAGTTCAATCTGCTTTTGAAATCCTGCCGCTCAGCATAAGCAGTATCCTTTACGTGAAGATGTTGCGGGTTTCCATCTAGTTGATGAACAGAAGTTTGTTGTCATCGACACTCAGGGTGTTATCACGTTGTATACATTACAAGAACACGGTTCACCTCAGCGCCGAGTCATGTATCGCCTTCAGGAATCTGTGCGTGCGCCGTTCTACCTATTCCATGCCACCCCATCGTTCCATGGTGCAACAGCTTGTCCAGACCTTGAGCCCGGCTACGTGCCTTCTCCGGAGTCGCAAATCATTGTTTTAGAGACTCTCACAAACGCATGCCCCGTGATTTTAGTTATCGATATGGTCATCTTCTCAGGAAAAGCCTTGCACTCAGAGACGCCTGTCGAAGTTCCCTGGTCGGAGTGGGGACCCCAGTTTACGTGCTGCTTTCGGCATCATCCAAGCCACCAAATCAGCGTGTTTGGTAGCAAAATGGCTTATGCTCTTCCTCGTTATGCTCTCCCTCGGCCTCTTCCTCTGGATCTCACCCCTAAAGGATTATGCACTGACACTTGTTTCTACGTGCACATCTTGGACTTCAATCAGCGAGTCATCACTCGCGCGGAAAATATTCGCGACCCCGACTTACCAACCCGCTCTATATGCAAGCCTTCTGATCATTCCCATGGACCCATCATCTCGAATTGTCCTTACATTGCCGCTATCTGTCGCATTCAATTTTCGCCTTACGGCTTTGCCAGGTTATTCTTGGAAAATGATCGACTTACTTTAACATGGGTAAGTGTCCTTAATTATGGATTTAGCAATAATTTAACAAGGTCAAACCGTAGTTGCGGGATGGCACGGTTCATATCCAGGTCATTTCCCCTGCACAGATGGAGGTCGACTCGAACCTTGTGCACTAGGATAAACATCAGCAGTCGAGGGATTATGATCAATTAAATGTCGTTGTCAATTGTCTTACACTTCAGCTCACCGTTCTTGTGTACTTAATTTATCCCGGACGCATTGACGGCGACGGTTCGTATTTTGGGCAATGCAGGGTCTTGCGTAGAGATGTAAGCGATTGGATCTCTCTAGTTGAATGCCATCTTCATTTAACAAATTTTCTACGAAAACCAGGTGTGGGAATGTTTAAATAATGCTTTCCAATCCCTCGATTCAGTGCCCTCCTTGAATGAATGCTTCTTTCATTGCCTATCGCGCAGGGCATGCGAGACTCAAGATTCGGCAATCTTGTCGTGAACGGCGTCCTGAAATAAAAACCCTCCAACGGGTCCTTCAGCACGTTCAACAACCGCTATGCGTCTTTGAGCACCGGTCAACGAACTAACTATACTGACTCACATTGCCTTGCAGCTACGCCTGCACGAGTGGTAGGTTGCCAAATATTTCCAGTGAATGTCTCTCGTGGTTCGTTCGCCCTACGATCTACAGCACGAACTGCGGTAAAGCAGAAATGGTAGCTTGCTTGAAAGACAAGTCGAGTGATCGTGTTTACCTCGGCTAGGCGATGCTTTCTCATGGACATTTAGTTGCCGCAAGGCGCTATCGACTGGCGTCGATCGAGCCTCTGCCGCATTTAGAACGGCTCGAACTGTGAGTGGTCAGTCCAAGCAGTGAACGACGAGTGATGACTTCTTGCCTTTATTTGGAACAATCTTGTCGTGGATGTTTGGCGCCCATAGCGCTCCTGACACCGCTATCGCAACGTTCACATATAGCTGCAAGAGATATTCGGAGATCTTCACCTTCTATATCAGGGGCAAGTTCATTATACAGGTTATTCATATTCATCTGAGCCAAGACACAGCACTAACCTGTGTCTCTAACAATAACACGGGCAGCACACGGAATAAGAAGCATCCATACAGTGCAGATCAGAGAGAGAATGTTGGAGTACATCATGATGACGGTTGCGAGAGGTATGGCCTACGATCTTGATGGAAACTTCTTCTACAACCAAGCTGATCTTATAGCAGAACTCATGACTCGTGGGCGTGGGGCCTTTGCAGCCTTGAGAAATTTGGCTCGGTTGCCATTGAGGACTTCTTCTAAGGGTCTTCATACATCTGCTCCAAGCTCCATATTAGCTGCGCTTCGATGATGAAGCGGTGCCAGCGCGCAGGAAGCGCGCTCGATGTATCGGAAGCTGAACTGCTTCGACAGGTGTTCTGAGGCCGTCCCTCATGCTACCACAGGGCCATAATGTCTGGCATGGTCCAGAACAAGTCTCGTTATCTTTCACACTGGAAGGTCCCGTACTACAGGTAATCGAACCAATCACTGGCTAATATTTATATTGTTTCATTGTGCATTAAATAGATTCTCTGGCATTCGTCCCACTCCCGAAGGCAGCCCTGTGAGACTCTACTTCTCCGTTCCACATACCCATGTATTAAGAAAATTGGTCACAGCCCATCGTATTGATCGGGGCGAGGTAGATGCCGGGTATCCGTGAAGTCGAGCAGTGGCTCCAGTGCCATTGATACAGCTCGGAGCCGATTGGTCATAATCATCAGGCAAAGCCCGTTGATTGCAAGGAATGCAACCAAGGCAATACCGATGAACCACGGTGAGGTAAAGCCTTTTGTGCTTGGGATGCACACTCCGTCCGCTTCAAGCGGGACGTGACTTTGCTCTTGCTCCTCCTCTTCGGTTCTTTGTGCAAGCAGGGTATATTCTTTGTTGCTCATCTGGTTGCCAAATGTTACAATTCTACTGCTGTGACAATCGTGTGTACCGTCTGTCAGTCACCAGATATGTGTTGTATTTCTTGGGCTTACCTAGTGCTCTTCAAGTGACAGTTTTAGGACTGAATGATTAATGAAATGGACGGGGTATTTATGCGGCTGAGAAGTCCAATGGTCCGTATCACATTTTACCCCAAAACCCTGAATTAAAAAAGGTCATCGTTACTCACAGCTTACCATAAGTGCGCCGACATACTGTCATCGTGCCATCTGATGTCGCGCCTTCCTGGGAGTTACCATGCTTGATTGCCGCGAGTTTAACTAAACGCGTGGAGCACAGCATGTTGCAGTAGAGATTACTGCATTCATTTCACACGGAAATCTAGTCACTTGGCCTTAAGACTGATGCGGCCACTTATCAGGGCAATAAGTTACTCCTGGGTGAGATTTGATTTTAACTTGGAATATTTATTAATACATTACTTTATCTAAAGGTCTATTCTGGGAGTTAACGTTGACTCTTGTGCACAGTATCATTATGGCACTGCTCCACACTATCCAGGTCCTCAGTGCCATGACATCTGGGAATTCGCGATAACACTGTCCGTCAGATATAGCAATGAACGCACAGCAGTCCATTCTCGGCACCGCACGACGCGGCTATATGTGTATGCATCAGTTCACAGAAGCCTGTTGCATATGAACTGTTTCTACCATCTAAAGTCATAATGTCTTACCCGCGACGTCTTCAACATACTTCTCCAGTATCGAGGTGGTCTTTGCGGGACCCCTCTAATGTCATCTCCGCTTGCATTTCCGTTCTCGTGCTGGTCACGATAGTCAATGTGATGTTCACATTACACAGTATCTCTGTTCTCAATGAGCTCCTCCCCCCGCCCCCTCACGTTCACAGTACGTCAACTGTGTGCTTTTACCATTTTAGGCATGAAATTGACCTGATTATCTCGTTCACAGCGTATGTCGGTGACGACCACCCCTCCCAGCTGCCGCTGGAGCTCCCATCCGTCGGTCTCGAACTCGAGAGCGGCGAAGGCCACTTTTCATTATACGATGACGATGACTGGGGCACACTTTTCCCCTCGGACGGGTTTGTCGCTCTAGGCCCGAATAACCGCACATTCCTAGTCTCCCTCTACCATCAATTTCACTGCCTAGACATCATCCGCGTTGGATATGTCGTAAATCGCACGCATGCTGCACAGCATATCCAGCACTGCTTGCGGTATTTACGACAGGCATTGCTGTGTCACGCTGATGCCACGCTAGAAGTGGATATTCCGCAGATATCCCCCGACGATGGGAAGCTGTATCACACTGCGAACGGGGTGGGTTCGGTTCACAGGTGTAGGGATTGGACGGTGCTGCGACAGTTCATGCTGGAACACCCAAGCACACCGTTCGAATAAGGGGGTGGGTGTCATGTGCGATGCTTCTTGTAATGCCAAATTGATATTTCTATTAGATACTAGATACGTCAAAGATAGGTCGTAATTAATTTCTGGTGTATGTCCAAATACACCACTACACCACTACAACATGCTTCAAGATGCTTTTGGTACACTGCCAAGGTGTTATACAGGTGAAGCACTCTCGTAATTGCTAGTAGGCCCCATCTCGACCTCTGCAATCTCGATCTCATCGTGTCCCTTCATGTGGGTGAGATCGAAGTCTTTCATCCGAATATCCATATCGGTTTCGGCCAAGCTGTTTTCGACAGTGAACTGGGTACCCGAAGTACCTGTGTCGCCCCCACGGCGCGCGATCCATTCAATACGAGTGGACGTCATTGCCTTGGTGGTATGCTCTGATGAAATTCCCAAACTAACCCGAATAATAATGAGGGTAGGTGCGATGCCCTATAATGGAAATGTATAAGTAAGCAACGAGCGGAAATTAGAAAAGTACAGATTTAGGGTCCTACTCACGTATATTTGGGTGGCAATCACCGCTACGATGCCTTGTGCGGGGTGTTGGATCGCGAAGAGTACGACGAACACGAATTGTACTATAAGATAGAGGGCACCACTTTCGATGATGAGCATCATCGCGCGATAGGAGGCGCCTTGGCCGATGACCACAGGTGATTCCTTCACAATACGGGAGGAGATCCAGATGCGGTAAACTATGAGAGAGGTGACGATGACATTGGTGGCGAGGGGCAGGATATATCCTGCGAGCCCTAGCGTCACTATAGCGGCCGGAGGTGCGGGCGAGGTGGGGTCTGTGACAATGACGAGGTGGAGTACCTCCATGATACAAGCTATTCGAATTGGTCAGTGAGTGGTTGATTACTCGAAGTGGGACGACGTACCGAAGCCACCGAAGGCAGAAAGAAGAGGAAGTATGACTACATAGTAGTTCTTACCCCAAAGCATCCAGCAGCGGTAGACAAGAACCAGGTCACCAACGAGATCCGTGAACGAGATAAGGAAATCTGCGCCCGTAAGACCAGGAGTCTCCGCGGAAAACCCATCGACTCCTGTTGACTCCTATCCAGAAAAATTGGTATGAGGACATGTATTTTCTAACGATTTAATAGGGAAACGCACAAGAGTTGTATAAAAATGATTGAATTCGAGGGCAAAATGTGCAGTGCAGCAGAGAAAGAGCAAACAATTGGCAAAAACAACAGGGCTACTAAGGTTTGGCGAACGTCGGTTTTGACCCAAGACTACCCATGAGATGATGAAAAGAATGCAGTAACTGCCTGTAGTCGTACGAGAGCGCTTGAGCGTTCACTGAAAAATGTCGAAACCTGTTGAGTCTCACCATACAAGACTGCTTCACAACCAAAGCCAATCAAAGCTGGTATATCACTCGAAGACGCTGACATTGCATAGAACAGCCCTGATAGCGATGAACAGGTATTATGTTGGTATGATGATGCTGGCGGTGGTCAACGAAGGGAATGCGCAGCAGCCTGAGCGCACGGAAAGAATGTTTGTTTTTCATTCTGATGATCAGACCGAGAACCTCGTGAGATGCGGGCTGCCGGGTAAAATCCATACAACCGAACTATTAATATAGGACAAAACCGAAGTAAACACCTACTGGATAAGGTCAAGAAGGAGCCTCGTGAGGCCACGCAGCATGCTACTTACTTCCATTCAAACTCCGCGGCTTGCTAGACTGGACCAGGCAAGCGAAACGAAAAGTACTACTACTTGGTTGTAGAAACAAATTTGGTGACCTCTCGTGGTTTGCTGAACCATAAAGTTATTGTGAATCGCGGGATACTCACACCGGGCTCATGTCGGTCAAATGAGGCACAGGCGCCAATCCTTGCAGTCTTCCTTCTCACATTGTTAAATTGTTGTCATCAGCGTGTGATGGCCATTGCTGAACCATTTTTGGTGGATGGCCTTAATCCTCCTTCGTCCCCTCATGGCTCTTCTGAGAGTCTGCGGGTCGAGCATCTTCGCCTTCATTATATGGAGGCTCATTAAACGTCTTCGTGCTCCAAAGTCTCCTCTCGCTCACATCCTCGGACCAAAGAAAGAGCATTGGCTGAAAGGTAGATGCACTTCTATGGCGATACCATGTATTAATCTCAATACGTGTCAGGCAATTATCACCGTATATTCCAAGATGGTTTGCGGTATAACCTTGATTTGGTGCAGCAATACGGTGGGGCAGTCAAAATTTATGCCCTTCTTGGGGTGGGGGGTTCTCGTTTTAGATCTGTTATCTCCACTTGACCCAAAACTATCTAGCAAGAGCAACTGTACATATCAGATCCGCTTGCTTTGCATCACATCATCGTGAAAGAGCAAAATGTCTACGAGGAGACCGATATGTTCATCATGTAAGTGCTTACGCAGAAGTAGCGTGTAAGCTGATGACGATCCCGCCCGATAGGGGCAATCGACTCATCTTTGGAGAAGGCCTCATAGCTACTCTTGGTGAGCATACAGAAGACTTACTTAACCAAGCGTGCGCATATCATCCCATTTGAAAGGCGAACAACACAGGAAGCAGCGCAAGATGCTAAATCCAGTATTCTCTCTCGCAAATATGCGTGATTTACTTCCTGTAATCCAGCCTATCGCTGATCAACTACGCACCATCTTGAATGCAAAAATTCCAGCTGATGGCTGTAAGTTGCGCAATTTTTGTTCGAATATCATTTATTCACCTACTTATTTGTAGCGGTTGTGGAAGTCAACTTACTTCCGTGGCTGTCGAGAGGGGCACTGGAATACATATGTCAAGCAGCGCTCGGACACTCATTCAATGCACTTGACCCAACAAAAGAAAATGAATATATGGAAGCTATCAGGACACTTGCGTGCGTAATTTGCTTGTTCCCGCGATCACCTCTGAAATGAATCCTGACAGACCATCCACACTTCGCCTGATCTTCCTCCGCCCGTTTATTCCAATGATTGTGCGACGGTTTTCCTTGTATTGGAGGAACAGGATGATGGATTGGATGCCGAGTGACGCATTGAAAAACCTTCGTCATGTAGTAAACGTGATGGATACCGCCAGCAAGAAGATTTTCACTGAGAAGAGAGCAGTTTTAGAGAATGAAGGCTTCGTCGGAATCGCGGGGAATCCTATGCAAGGTAAAGATATTATGAGTATCATGCGTCAGTCTTCTTTTCACACACGTAAACGTTCTACTAACGAAACGACTACTGCCAGTGCGAGCCAATGCATCTTCTTCCAATGACGATCGATTGACAGACTCGGAATTGCTGGGTCAAATGAAGTGGGCATTATTTACATACACTGCCAGCGTGAATCCTAGACTCAGTACCCTTTTAGCACGATCATCTTTGCGGGCTTTGAAACGACTACCTCTGCCATATGCCGCATTCTTTGGATCCTGGCCGAAAAGCAGGACGTTCAGGCACGACTACGAAGCGCAATCCGCAATGCTAAACGAGACTATGCGGATGCGCAGGGCCTGTCCAGCCCATGGGAAGACGTAGAATTACCCTACGACACGCTTATGGGGCTGCCTTATCTAGATGCTATAGTTCGTGAAACACTTCGAGTGTATCCACCAACTTCTCTTCTCAGCCGAACGTAAGTTTACCTTGCTGCATCACCTGATACACTCACCGAACGATTTTTTCGGCTGCATTTTAGTGCTCGTCAGGCTTCCGTTCTTCCATTACACCAACCAATCAGGTCTGCGTCTGGCGAAATGATTTCTTCGGTCCACGTTCCAGAAAATACGACGCTTATCATTTCTATCCTGGCTTCGAATCACAACAAGGAGATTTGGGGCGAGGATGCCTCGGAATGGCGTCCGGAACGATGGTTGTCACCTTCCGGCGAGCGCCTTCACCTGGGAGATGGTGAAGGTAACTCCACGAGCGGTGTCAGTCTTGGGGTCAAGAACGGCATCAAATATCCTGGCGTGTATGGTTTGATGTAAGTGACATAAACCTACAGCACTACCGAAAAGCTAAAAAGCCGTGGTCAACACAGGATGACGTTTCTCGGAGGCGGCCGTGCATGCATGTACGTGATGTGTCATTTTGTAATGCATACATAGCCATTGATGTCATTGATGTAGCGGCTTTAAGTTTGCAGAGATGGAAATCAGTGCGCTTTCTTGTCCTTTCCGTATGCAGAGATGAACTAAGTCATTACAGAACAAGTCCTCACGACCCTCGTCCCACGAATACATTTTGCGCTGCCTGCATCGACAGATAGAAATGGATACGTCAAGGAGATCTATTGGAAGATGAACGGGCTACAAGTTCCGGTCGTACGTCCACCAGCCGGGGATAACATGACAGCTCAAGTCCCATTGGACCTGAGAAAGGTATGCGAGCAAGACTTCGTAGTGAATCAGCCAAATTAGCTCGAGTAGGGGTGAAGACGTACATATTTGAGTGCACTTGCATGCTACACAACGCAATCTAATGTACATCCTGAGAAGCACGAGACTTCTCAAACCTTGGTATGTAGTAAGTAGGACTAGGATTAGCTACCACTGTTCCTCGTTTGTAATAGGGTTGGTGAAGCACACCGATTCCGTTTGTGAGCTCGCGGAGACCGCGAACGTGAACTTCGTCTTCGTCGGGTGCGATACCGCTCATCATCGATGTCACGACTCTCAACATCCTTCGAACGGCTTCTGGACTCTGGTGCTCTTCCATCCTCATGCATCTCAACTTTATCACTTTCGCCCGTCTTAGCCTCCACACCCTGGTCTTCCCTTCTCTTCTCGCGTTTCCTCTTCCACATGATCTTGCGAACGCATTTCGAACACAGAACGACTTTCACGAGTGCTTCTTTCTTTTGACCGTGTTCTTCATATGTAAATGGTAGCTCGAGAGTCGTAAGTGAAGTAGAAGATGCGGTGTGTTCGGGACATCGAGTGTTCGCGCATGTCGTCTCGCCCGTTCCAGAGAGAACTTCTGTTTCTGTGCGCCAGCGGAGAGTAAACTAGACGGTCGATGATCAGCCACCGTGACCCAACACACGTATACGTAGAGAGCCGAGAGACATACGTTTCCTGACTTGTAATGCTTGAGATCACAAATCGCGAATTCGCGATAGAGACTGTCGTAGTACTTCTGCGCTAGCCGATCGTTCCATGATGTACTGGCCTCATCGTCTGCGCCATCTCGTAGGAACCTTCAAGAAGATATGAAAGAGGTAGACTTGGAAGTGTGGGCGTTTCTTACTTGTGCGAGGCCTTCAGGATGTCGAACTCTGTGACTGGAGTTGAAGGCGCAGCAGTAGTCGTCCTGGGGACATATGGCTTGTATAATGCCGACATATGAGAGGAGCAAGACGGCTCGATGAGAGTGGGTTCGCGGTATGTGGGGTTGTTTGGGTAGTTAAATTAACCTTTCAAATTTCAGCTTGAACAAGCTTTCGACGATGTTTTTTAGTGCTGCAGGCAACTGCAAGGGCTATCGTTTATAGAAACGTTTCGTTGTGGCATTCAAGAATAATACACTCAAGCTACTAGCACTGCGCTGCGACATACATCTAACATATATATGGAGTAAGGTTACCACGCCGGTGAGTCAACGAATCCTGGAATTAGGAACTGGATGAAACCATTCATACCTAGCATCATGTAACTATAGGTCCTCCACTGGCACACATTCATAGCCGTGGCAGCAATCTGCCTTTCAGTTGCAAAGGCTGCTGCATGAATGGCATTTACTGTCAGCACTGACAGCCGTAGACGTGACTGTCAAAGCAGCGTCGAGGATGACTCAAAAGGAGAGACTCATCATTTGTGATATGTATGTGATCTCAAAAATGGATGGGAACGGCAGGAAGATGGGGAGCTTTTATGTCCTGAAACTATTCCGCGCAGAACTTATAACAGATGTCATTTGCCATGCCAGCAGATTGCCAACGAGAAATTTGTGAAGTAAGTACTAAGCACTTCGCACAGTGTGACGAACCACTTACATATGGTACCATCAACCACACTGCACCAACGTGTTATAAGAGTTTGGTATTTCACCGGCACCCTTCGTCATCGTTCGATGTTCGGATCGACTACTCATATAAATCTACGTCGTAGACCATCCTCTCCTTATCATCTCCCGCCATGTCGTAGACACACGATATAGCGCTGTTCTCCAGCTTCAACACAATGGAGAAGCACTGGCCACTGCTCACTGCAGCTCATCCGATCTCAGTGCTAGTGTAGGGGGCAGGACTGGCGAAATTCTATGTAGGCCATACGTACGACATTCCTAATGATGACATTAATGTTGCCACACCATTGCAATTGACCACCTCAACCTCACCTACAGTGGCCTTTGGCGCTATTCCTTGTTCGACCCTATCTAACTCGCTAGAATCAAAAGCATCTCCCTCGAGCACTTCAACTTCGTCAATGCTCTGAATTTTCTCAGTTCCTTTCAACTGCTTTGGAGTTCTCCCAACAACATTAGTAGTCCTCACACATATACGTGTCATAAATACACCACGCTGGTAAGCCAATAAATCTTTGATGAACCTACTCATACTCAATTCTCTGTCCTCGTTTATTGTTACTAGGACGCATTTCAGGTTAGCGCAGCATTGTGCACCTGAGGTGCAACCGTTGCCAACTGGTATTAAGCAATCACGGTCAGTGGCAGCACTGACAATCATAGTAGAAATTGTCGAAGCAGCAACAATGGCAAGCACGACTTGGAAGGCGAGATGCATTATTTGTGAGACGTGATATGGGATCTCGGAAATAAATCTGAAGGGGGATGGTAGGAAGCTTTTATGTGCTGAATACCTACCCACTTCAAACAGATGACATTTACAATGCCAGCAGATCGTCAGCAGACCTCGAATTTAATTTGTACTAGTATCATCAATGGGCAATTCCAAATTCTTGCTGTATATGGCCCACACTGCGCCGTTTTACCAGCAAGGATTTGGAATTTCCGTTACCACTGTGTCCTAGGGCTCTTCTGCCTTCAGGAGCTGAGTTCAGGTGTCTCATGGATGCTGAGGGAACTTCACTCTCTTCATGCATCGGGGAACGCAAAACCAGATACTGGCAGCTGAGGCTTTGGAGATCCACATTCTAAAAAAGAGTGCGCTGGGATTCCCAGGTATGATGTTGTTAATTATGCACACTTTCTCCGGCACCAACTTCAGTGGGAGGGGGTTTTGTCGGATGAACTTGAATTCGTTCAGGCACCTGTACGCTGAACCGCGGGAAGAATGGGAAGCACCTACTGTATCTACGTCAGCTCATGCGCACGCTAGTGATCAAGTTTTCTAGTCTGCTACCACATCTTGCCGCTCACTTTTAACCTCTCAATTGGTACCACAGGTCTTCCATTTATCCTTGTCTGATAATGGTAAGGTCCAACCTTTTGTGGTATAGTTTGGCTATTGATGCCATATGCCTCTTATCCGGTGTACACGAGGACTCACCTTGGTTTAGATAATTACAAGTGCTCCAGGAAGAACTCCACAGCAGCCTTGAACGATCCCTCCTTCCCAGCTTTGACCAGCGGGTCTTTGATATCCCCACGTACAGCAAACCCGTGCGTGCATCCAGGGAAGTACTCGCGCTTGTACCCTGGGGCAAATTTCCCATCGCCAAAGATTTCATCGGCCTTTGCTTGGGCTGCGGTAGGGAACGCCTGATCGACTTCACAAGAGTTGATCAGGAGAGGCGCCTGTGATTTGGAAAAGTACGTCTAGAAACATTAAGTTCGGAGAGGGAAACGTTATGCCGGACAGTGTGCGTTACCTCGAGGTCGTTGGGGACCTTCAAGAGCGAGGGGTGGGAGACCACGGCGCACTGGATGACGTTGTCGAACGCAAGGTCAAAAGTATAACGACCTGATTTGTATCGTTAAGCAGAGAAACAAGTAGTTGAATGGGGAGATGTACCGCCGAAGCAGTAGCCAGTGGCCCCGAACTTGGTGACACCTTCCTCTTTGAGCACGGCAATGACCTTATCGAGGGAAGGGCGCGTCTGCTCGTTTCCATGTTTAGCCAACCATGCCTCTAGGTTAAACGAGCCAGACTGTGGTGAACGTAGGATCAGAGCTTGAGACGCAAAGGAAATCAATCCAAACTAACGTTCATGATGTCAGCGGGAAGACTATCGCCGTTGAAGTAGTCGACCGCGATGACCTCCATTATGCAATTAGTCTCATATCCGGGTATCCTACGTGCTTGGGTGCAAACCTTGAAGCCGTTGGTTGCAAAGTCATCAGCGAGGAGCTTTGTCCATCCTTGTCAACTTGTTAGGACCATGGTAGCACGAACGGATATACCTTGGGATTGACAAGCTCGATACCGAAACCATCCGGCAGGAAGAGGATGACTTTGTCCTTGGGATAGTCAACAGTAGGGGTGGCGACGTAGCAAGTAACACCGTCGATGATCTCAAGCGTTCCTAATGAAGACACTGATGAACAATGTGACGCGGTGAATTGGAAAACTACTAACCTTGAGGCTCACCCTCGTGGCGTACGCCTGTTTGCAATTAGTACTCAGTATTGATCGTGAGGATATAAAACAGCACCTTGAATACAGTCCTTGCAGAAGCTCATATTTGGGCGTGGTTGGTTGGTTGGTTAGGAGAGGGCTGACAGTCATCGCACTACACCTGTAGCTCAAGCGCTCACCGTTATATCTAATCAGATCGTAACGGTGCTTACGCGCCAGGCGGCCCAGGCCCCCGACTCCTCTTTCGCATGCGTCCTTTGTCCTGCCGTCATTCAGAGCTCGCACGAGTATTTTGCAGCCAGCGTTTTCTTATCATTCCAACTTGACCACCCCTGCACACTGTCGTATTATTGGCTCAGTTGTATACCTGGCCCCTTGCAAGCCATCGTGTTGCAGGGGAGTCGTGTTACGCACTGCTTAATAATCCCGCTTATCCATGGGATCTCATCTTCCTCACTTATCCATCAAGTCGTGCTTCATTCCTCGCGTGTGTTTCACCACCAAGACATTCCCTACAACATCGTCTGCGTTGGATATGATCCCAGCTATCTTCCAAATCAGTGCGTTTGGCGGTCCGTATACTGACGGATGTTCACGGAAGAAAGTGTAACCAGGGGTATCACCCCTCCAGCATATCTACGATCATAAGTTATGTATTTTTCATAAACTTGTTGCATAATTGTAAGATGTGCATCAAATTGTTATGTCCATGGCATAGTCTATATTCCTTCATCAACTTTTTGTGTAAGATGATAATGTATAATGCTAAATCTAGATGTATCATAATGGGTTTTATTTGTCAGTTCTACCTGGTCATATCAATTCCGGGTTAATTTCCTGATGTACCATCGTCATCTCTCATCTTCATTCATGGTGACCTCAACGTTCAAATATCACGTTGATTTCGGACTCTTGACGGCGTTGTGTACAGTTGACCGTGCGCACCATCTATGCAAAGGTCAACCACGGCGCGTCAGAGTATCAGACTTTGCGAGTCATTGAAGGCAGACAGACGATGAACTTTGCCTGTCTGTGGAATCTGCATTTCGACGAAGCGCCAAATCTCTCCATTTTCCAAAAACGTTTCTTGTCAATTGAGTATGGAGTTGCGTTTTGAATACCCACGATACCATGAAAAGAGCAAGACGACGCGATGATAATGAGTTGTAATGAGACAGACTTTACAGTGCAAATGCGCGCCATGCGCACAGAACACGTCAGGAAAGTGACTCATAAAGTGGAGCACATCTCTGAGCCAAAGGGGGGCATGAAAGGGGCTCCAGTGGAGCGCGCACATGGGGTCGATGCCAATTGGAAACCACTCCGTTCTTACAACATGTAGATCAGTGGATGAATGCTACGAGGATGAACTGAACGGGTTGTCTGTATCTGTAATGTCCGCTTCGGCTCATACCTATCATTTCCCACAGCACAATGCATGTACAGAGTGTGTAGTGACTTACTACAGTCCTAAACAGATACCTCAATCAGATGCTGCAGGGCTACGATATCCATCCCTGCATTCCGCGGAGTGATACTGCAAGGGAACGGCACGGGTCGTCTACAGGAATACACTTCAGCTTGAGTATGTCTCCACTGAAATCCTGCCAAGGACCACTTACACAGTAAGCCCTCCCTCCCACCGTGGCTTGATCTCGATTTCCTCACCATTCTCGTCTTTGGCGTTTGAAAATTTGAAAATCGCGAGCAAGTGGACCATCGCAGACCATACAGATGCTTCAGCGAGATGCCTTCCGGGGCATATCCTTCGTCCAAATCCCCAGACAATACCGACGGTATCGTCTGTCAGGGTACCATCCGGATTGAGGAAACGGTCGGGATTGAACTCAGATGCATGTGGGTATTTCACTTCATTGTGACACATCGCCCTGCACAGGAGTAAGTTAGGGATCAGGAATCCCAAGAATAATTATTGTTCGTACCAAACATTTGGGGTGACCGTAGCACCTGCACTACAAATCAAAATGAACTGAATTAAAACAGGAGGAACATACCTTTGGGGATATAATAGCCCTCATAGACATCGCTTTCGACGGCAGCATGCATGATTGCTATAACCGATCACTGGTCTGTTTTTTTGGTGCTGGGTGAGCAACGCACCTAGTGGGAGCACTGGGTGCCACCGCAGGCACTCGCGCAAAATAGCGTCAATGTAGGGCAACGATGGGCGATCCTGGAACGTCGGCAGTCTCTTTGTACCAACCACGTTCTCAATAAGTTTGTGCGCTTTCTCTTGTATGTCTGGATGAAGAACCATCACAAGGATGAAGTTCATTATTACACCCGCTGTCTAGTAATGGTCAGTATTGAAATAATCGCCCACCGTTCAATGCCTACCGTCTCTGTACCAGCTGTTTGGGAGACAGTTTTATCAGTCTGACAAATCGCATTGTAATGATGTGCCCACCCCCAGTCGCAGTGGCTGCAGAATCCATTACTGCTTTCTTCTGCAAAGCCGAATCTCCGTTACTTTCACCGAGCTTCAGCAAATGGTCAGCGACCATGCAAGAAGAGACGGTTCCGGCGGCCTGAAAACTGACTGTGAATAAAACACTTCACATCATGTTGCACTTACCAGGCCGTGTTCCGTGTGCGCAAACGGAATTTCTAAATTTTCAAGCGCTAACTGCTTAGCTAAATGTGAAACCCTCTTGAGCCGCATGCCGGGTAGCCAAGACGGGAGACGGAGAACTGCATATCAGACAGTAAGAAATTGTGCGAAATAATTGCAACGTGGCCTACGGGAGGGGAATGCGCTGAATATCGCAGCTACCTCCGGTCTCATCTCCTGCAATACGATCTCCAGAGCAAATAATGCACGCTCAATCATATGGTCTTTACGACGCGCTGCGTCATATGAGTACACGGCAGACATAATTATGGAACCCGCATGCCTGGAGAGCTTGTCAATGCCAACGACGAGTTCAAGTATATCGACATTTACTCACACTTCAAGATGTTTCGGGTAGCCTGAAGGATCCTCCAGCAGATTCAATAAAAGTTCGTGAGTTTTTGCTACTTGCATGAGCCGAAAATCGGGTACGATATCTTGTCGGAATGACTGGTGAAGAATTTTGCGATGAAGACGCCATCTGTCATTGTACCGCATGAACGCGGTAGTGTGGTTAACGCCAAATCTAGTTCAAGACTAAGTGACAAGAACACTCGATCCTTCAACAACTCGTACAATTCATTAGTTGCAATCTCTGGTCTGTCAGAGTAGTTTTGCGACCGATTTTCGAGGAGATCTCTTGCGATTTCCTCAGAGTTGACAACTATGTTATCCTGGCCAAAGAGCTTGGTATAAACTATATCGCCTATTTAAGTAAATATCAGTTAGTACTGCGCAGATCTGGGTGTCATTATTTGAGGGATTACTTGCCGTATCGACTGCCCCATGCCTTGTAGGTAATCCAAGGCGCATTTACATCGACTGCCAGTGCGCTACCTAAAATTGGGAGCGACGTCGGCCCTGGTGGAAATCGAATACCATGAGGCAGCTTTGGTTTGGTGAAGTAGCTTCTTAGTGCAATGCCGATTACAACAGCAGCAAGAAGTACTGTAAGCCCACCCGTCGCGCGGTCCGACATAGTAAGAACAAAATCTGAAGAGTGAGTACTAGTCAGTTGATCAAGAGCAGTGTTCCTTCTCACCAAGCTATGACATTGAACCATTGTAAATTTTTCGCTAGTTCGCTAAATGCCCGGATTGCGTGGCAACCTTGAAGTTGACAGCTTGATCAATGTCAATAATGCACCCGCATACTGCGGCCATGTTGGCAAGAGTCACATTTAGAGTTGAAGCGCCCTGAGACTTTGAGTGCCCCTTGACCGTGTGGATGATACATAGCGGATCCAATGAAAATCGATCATCATCGGGAGAACTAATGATGTTTGACATCGGCGTACCGACAGTCTGAGAGCCGTATCTCAGCAAGTAGTATTTTCAGCCATCCAAATGACAGATTCAGAATGTGGTCAAAGAGTCGGCTGATAAGAAATGATGATAAAGGAGTTGATATGTCACGGTGCTAGTAAGCTTCTGCTTTAAACTGAATAATGAGCTGTTGAACTGTTTAGAACCGACTATGTGTATGAGGAATCATACCTATGATACCCTTCGTAGAATTTCATATGTGTACTCGTTGCAGTGCGAAGTCGAACGAGCATGTGTAGACGTTCCTCGGTGGTTGCTGCAGGAATGACAAAGTTTGACCAAACCACCGTGACTGATTCTATATATAACTTCAAGTGGCTGAGGCGACAGCGCGCTCGGTAAGTACTGTCAACGGCAATTGCCGAGGGTCATTTGAAAATGCTGCAACAATTGCTGCTGGTACCCAAACGGTGAGTGCGCATCAACTACACTTACTGCTAGTCACTGGAACCTCCCAGTACTTGTCCTCCAGACAAGCCATCATAGACCGATTCCTTGTATTTACATCCAGGCTCACAAAGTCACGGTCAGGCACAAGTACTCCCAACCTCCCATATTTTGTTTCAACGATTTTCTTCCGGTAAGTTAGCGTCACCTTTCTTCGCTTCTAAGGTTCTGACGAATGTTGCTCAACATTGTCGCTGTCACTGAAATCTAGCCCGTGCTAAGGTGGTTATTAACTGGGACCGTTTCGAAAATCAGCTTATTTTCATCATAATCGGGATCTCTTTCATTGTGATCCTCGTGGTTCCAGTGGGATGGAGGCCCAGCATATGGGTCCCAGCGTTCAGGCCCCACTGATATCTTCATGCAGAGCCCAATTGAGGCGACTTCTCGAACCGGCGCTGTTTGAAGACGGACAGACATTCTAAGTCGACATCCGTGTAGATCATATCTGTGCTTCTGCCAGTCCGCTTCAAAAGGTCATCCATGTGGCTTTGGGAATGAATCCCTCCTGCGCATCCGTGGTGTCATCTCTGGGGTAGTTGGGATCCACCTCCGATATACCGCGCAACCTAACTGTTGCACCAGTCTCTTGCGCCTCTTCGATGTTATCAAATATCCAATGACAACCTGTGCTTGCTGGACTGTGGTCAGATCACCGCAAAACTTGACAGTGTAGCTCCCAGCTAATGGCGCCCCTCTTCCCTGCTGTTAGATGACGTCCCAGGACCATTATTACAAGTACAAAACTGGACACGAAGGCGTATACGTTCAAACACAGTACTTAGAAAAGGTTATGTCCGTACGATCCAAGGTCCTTCGATCAGGAAAGATATCACTGTCAATTGTTGCCTGTCCGTGAACCATATCAGAATGCATCCTGATGGGTACAGGTAAGAAGATCTCTGCTGTTCAGACTGCAAAATAACGCGTAACGTTATGGCAATCCGCCATGGACCATTAATCAAAGAAGATACCGCCGTCGATCGATATCTGTCCAGGAATCATATCAGATTGCTTCCCTCGGTACGAGTGAGGAGATGCTTACTGTTTGGCCTGCGGAGCGATGCGTCACACCCATCAGTTTCGAGCTTGTGAAACCTAGGCCATGTACAATATACGCACCTGTGATGAAACGTGCTTCCGGGGTCACCAGAAATGAAACCAGGCTCGAAATGTCCTGGGTAGTTCCAAGTTCACCTACTGATGTCAACTGTTTGAACTCAAGTATATATAAAAATGTCAAAATTGGCATCTCGTGCACATTGGTGGAGAGGGTCACCTGGTCGTAAGTGGCGTCATTACCAGCTGATTCAACAAACTCAGTAACTACACGGGGTAAAGTTACCACTGTATATTAACGCACAAATCTTGAAACTTACACATTGATGTTTGAATTGTTCCTGGCGCATATGCGTTTACTGTGATCCCATTGCGACCAAGTTCTATAGCTTATAGAGAACGTTATTGAGGCCAGATGCTCATGAGACTAAGTACACTGTACCTGCGGATTGTGTCAGCCCTCGGACGGCAAACTTGGACGCACAGTAAGCGCTGAGTGAAGCAAGCCCTGAAAAAATACGTCACCATACACGAAGGAACAGCTGCATATGTGGACTTGCCTTTCTTTCCCGCAAGGGAGCTTGCACCAATAATTCGCCCACCCTCACCTTGAGCTACCATCTGCTGTGCTGCATATTTATAACTGTAGAATGTGCCTTTGGCATTAACAGAAAGCACGGACTCAAAGTCATCGGATGTCGCTGTGACAGGATTTCGGTAAGTTCTGGTGGTACATCGACCATAACTCACTTTCTAAGAGTGATTTTGATCTGCTAATGCCTGCGTTTGCAACAAACTATAATAAGATGAGTTTTACAGGGCAAATGAACCAGTTGAAAACAACTCACAACATTCAGGCTGCCAAATTCTTTAACTGCACTCTCAACCAGGCCTTTGACATCCTCCTCGACACTGACGTTCCCAAGCACAGCTAGCACTCTGCGCTCCGGGAAATTTGCAGCGATTTCCTTCTTGACTTCCTCCAAATTCTCTTTGTTGCTTTCCAAATCGTTGATCACAATGTCATAGCCATCTCCTGCAAGGCGTATTGCGATGCCGCGTCCAATTCCTTGCGCAGATCCAGTGACGACTGCAACGCCTTTGGAGTTGGATTGTGTGGACGTCATTTTAACCTGGTGTATGGCGAAGCGCTGTTATTCTGTCATGGGGCGCAGGACCTTTTGTACCCAGCTAGTGCTGACGTCTCAGTTCACGTGAAAGTGCTGCGCCACTTGTGCGACGTCTGCGGAAAGAGGGTGCTGCGGTGTGCTATGACGCCCGCGGTAAGGTGCTGTGACACTCACTCGGTTTCTGAAAATGTTTGTACTCCACAGTCGCACCTTCTCGTCACCGACAGACGAGGCAGTGGCAGTGAAAGAGGAGCCAGACAATCCAGCATCTTAGGTGACCATACAACGCTTCGAACCAAACGTTCGAATTAATCTTGATCTCGCGAAGAGGATAGATGTTATCGGCGCGCCAAAACCGAATGATCGTGAAGGAACAACCATCTTCCTTCGTCTATAAAGGGGAAACTAGAGTGATCGTATCCATCAACCCAGGTGCTAATGATAGTCCATCAGGGGATATTAAACACCGTCGGAGTGTTGCGAGGGCAGTGCCAGTCTCCGCATCCCGCACACCAACCGTCCGGTCATCTGGCCCGCTTATGAGTCTTTCCCTTCAGAGGACAAGCACACCGGATGCACGAAGTCTGTATGCTTCTCCGACGGATCAAATACCGTCACTGTCTGCTCTTGACGTCCCGGATAATGATGGTTCTATCACTTCCACCGCTCACAATTTGCATGTCATTCGGTGAAACGGCAACTAATCGCGTCCCATAAATGTAAATGTCTCCCTCAAATGGCCTCCCAAACCCGCGAGGTTCTATTATATGAACCAGTGACGACTTCGCCTGTCTTTGAAGAGTGCGATTGGCGACATACTGTCCGTGTGCCCCCGAATCATGCGCATTGGGGCTGGGCGCCCTGTTACAGCCAGGTACACGTCGCCGTTGAGCAACGAATAACTTTGCTGAAGACTCTAGAATAGATAAAAACACTGCGAAAGCGAACGCGAAACCAAGACAACTGGAGCATAAGAGTACGTGACAGCCATAACAGGATGAATCGGGAATTCCTACAACTTAGAGTATTAGTAGACGAAAAATACAGCAATATAAACAAAACCGTGAAACCGTACCAGACGAAAGTAATACAACATGAGACTACACACCAATATGAATGAAAACCATCCTCTGCTCAAGCGGTACTTTCGCCTTCACGGCATTTGTAGCACGGTTGAGCGCCCAGGCCGCTTTTGTACAGTCCATGACACCACCGTCCTCCAATCACTGAACATATTCTCGTAGAAAGCTTCGACCACGTGTTTCACGACAGCATCATCAACCACCCACAGAGTGCCAATGACGCTCTTGAACCCAGAAAATTGGAGTCCAGCTGCGAGATGGATGACTTCGTCGGGTGTCTCTTCATCGCCGACGGCGGTATGACATGCTGATAAGGACGCAAATTCAGCGTGCGGAGTGTCGTTCTCCATGATGTCAAGCAGCGTGAGAGGTTCATCTCTCATGGCGAACGACGTGAATTGTAAGGCTGCTCGAGGTCCTGCTTTCCATGACAAGCGAGGTGCACCCAGGTGTTGCGTTGCAATGCGTCGGGGGCACCTGCTCGCGTGGCAGTCGTTGCCGGAGAGAGTGGTGGGATTGGCCGTCGTGGGGACAAGCTTGTGGGCGGGTTCAAACTCGTGTCGGTAGTCAAGAGCGCCTCGCCTTGGCCCGTGTGCGGGGAACTTTGTCTGATTGCAGGAAGGATGGAGTCGAACCGTCTCATCATCTGTCTAGATCTGATCAGAGCTGAAAGTGTTGGCGTGTAAGAACAGATGTAGACATCCTCCAGGCATAGTTCCAGCCCATGTCCGTCTGCCTTCGTTCGAAAGGGGTGAGCTGCGTGATGGAAATGAACACTGCAGTTGGACACAGCCAGATTCGAGAGCGGCTCTTTGGTCTGAGATCTCGCTGGAGGGTGATGACGATGGGTAGCATGATCTCATACCATACTGTCCGTAAGAGCATTTGCAATTCCTTTCGCGTCTCTTCTGGGCGCATACAAGACACTTGCCGTATCTCCTTGGCAAAGTCCTTCTTGAGCATTCTGTAAAGTCCGAAGTCCGGCCCTTTTCTAGTGCTTCAAAGGATTTGATTATCACAGGCGTTTATGGTCAGACACTAGTGATGGAAGGGGCGAAATGAGATCCATGCTGTAGCAACGTGGTATACCGGTCCGTGCAAGATCCGTATCGAGCAAACGATAAGTATATAAAGAGCCTACATGATTTGAAGTTATGGGCAGAAACCCAATTATATTCATGACACATAAAATCGACGACTTAACCAGGGTACTCTTCTCGTCAACTTCAAACGCTACTGACCGTCTATCTTCCTGTCTATTGATATGTCAGGACTGCTCGATAGAACAAAAGCATATCTTGCTGTGAGAAGGCGTGCGACATCGGCGCAGACAACCCGGCCGGTGCTAACACAAATGATGCAAGTGCACACGAAGAAAGTGTCTGCAGTCGCGGTCTTCAAAGACGGTCGACGGATCATCACTGCTTCAGAGGATAAAACCCTGCGAATCTGGAACGTGAAGAAAAGAAAACTGGTGGGAGGACGATTTGTGGGACACAGTGGCTTTGTGAATTCAGTTGCTGTATCGCCAGACGATATGCGAATTGCGAGTGGTGGAGCAGATGGAACCATCATCATCTGGGACGTCGATAGCAAGCAGATGGTATTCAACCCGCTGGTGGAGCATACAAGCTGGGTGTCCTCGGTGTGTTTCTCCCCCGATGGAAAGAGACTCGCAAGTGGGTCATATGATGAAAGAGCTATCATATGGGACGCGAAGACTGGTGCTGTTCTCTCAACACTCCAGGGTTGGAGTCCGGTATTTTGTGTCTCCTTCAGCCCAGATGGGCTGAAATTAGCATTTGGAACGGAGTTTACCATCCGGGTTTGGAACACCAATAACGTCGAGCTTCTGTTCGATATCATAATCGCTCAAGTTCAAAGCATTGTGTGGTTGCCTGGCGGTCAGCAAATTGTTTCTGCATCGTATGATGAAACAGTCAAGTTCTGGGACTCGTCGAACGGGACCCAAATCGGTCAACCTTGTACCGGTCACACTTTCTACCCATCACTTGCCATTTCTTCTGATGGCCTCTTCATTGCAACCGCCTCAGACAACAATACCATACAACTGTGGAGCACCAAGTTACACAAGCAGATAGGACAACCACTCAAACACACCGTAGATGTTTGCTGCGTTGCAATTTCTCCCAACGGAGAACTGCTAGTTAGTGGAGACATTGATGGGAATCTTCAGCTCTGGTCCGTCGAGAACACACTTTCTGCAACACTCGGGATGGATTCCTCGTACGAATCCTTCCTTGCACATCGAAGTAAGGTGAAGTTGGGCCAAAACCTTTATATGGACGCCCTTTCGGATGCGGACAAGGTACGGATGATATCTGTCATTGTTTTAACATTTATGATGATGTTCGTAGGTCATTGAACTCAACCCTTCTTCTTATATCGGGTACGAGCTGAAGTATGCAGCCCTTCGTGGAGTACGGCACTATGATAATGCGCTCGAGGCTTTTAAGATACTGCTCTCCAAGTTGGATGATGCACTCGACCCACAGATACGACGTAAGTCCCAAACAACTCAAGCGTCGACTTGAAGATGATTTATATTTTTGCAGAGCTACGCCATCAATACATCAGTCTATCTGAACTAGAAAATGCTATTCGACGAGCCATTCGCGCCCAACTGGAAAACGCTCCACTTCGTCTAATCAATACTATCACTGGGCATATATGTGATCGAAATGGACAGATCAACGCATTCACGGGGAGTACAGAGTACAAAGAGCTTTTGCTTTCATTGGGGATGCGCGTGCCCCTTCAAACAGAGTTCATCAGAGAAGTAGTTGCGGGATTCTTCGGTTGGGTCATGTTATCCCATAGGTGGGAAACCGAGGAGCCGCTGCTGTACGACATTCAAGGCAAGGAGATATACGACTTGGATCCGGTCGGAACCATTGCAAAGTTGCAGAAATTCTGCCAAGTCGCTCACAGTGCAGGGCATCGCTGGGCGTGGGTTGATACGTGCTGCATTGACCAGAACAACAACATCGAGCTACAAGAATCAGTCAACTCCATGTTCATCTGGTATCACTACTCAGCGCTCACCATCGTCTACCTATCAGATGTCCCGCCCTCGTCAAACTCTGGCGCGCTTGCAAACAGCACTTGGAACACACGAGGATGGACTGTTCAGGAGTTCCTCGCTCCTAGAATTGTTCTCTTCTACCAAGCAGATTGGACCCTATATCTCAACATACGCTCACACAACCACAAGGAGTCTGACAGGATCAAAAAAGAGTTGGAGCGTTCAACTGGCATAAGTGCGCGAGCGCTCGCCGACTTCCGTCCAGGGACAAGAGATGCCCGAGAGAAATTACAATGGGCGTCAAACCGTGACACCACTAGGGAGGAAGATATCGCGTACTCTTTGTTTGGCATCTTTGATGTCAACCTTCCCGTTATCTATGGAGAGAAAAGGCAAAAGGCGCTCGGACGACTCTTGCAGGAGATCATAGCCCATTCGGGCGACATCACAGCTCTGGACTGGGTGGGACGATCGTCCACCTTCAACAGTTGTCTCCCAGCCGAGATTTCCTCATACAAGGCTCCGCCATACACACCATCTCTATCTGGACAAGATATGCGTGTATCGATCTCCGCGCTGCGACACATTGTAACTGTGGAGTCGGCTTCGAAACTGTATACCACTCTTGAGAACCTCGGCGTTCCTCGTTTCGCAAACGCCAGACTGCAATTGCCTTGCATTGCATTTCCTCTCACAGAAGTCAGGCAGAGCCTTGATCAAGAAGGGGCCAGACGTTTCACTTATCACGTCAAGGCAGACGGGCTACGAGACCTGCTGGTCACAACGAAAGACAAGCTAGTTCAATTCTCGCCTGAAAAACGTACTCGGCAAACATTCTTGCTCGTCCGTCCGTGGAATCGGTATGATCTCGGGCTGATTAACTTTGCAGAGGAGACGCGGGGCGTTGAAGGTTGGCCCGGGTTTGGGTTTCTGTCAGGTGATACGCTCGTCGGCTATCCTATACACAACGAGCCGGCTATGCGAGAGTTGAAGTTGATGGTGCGCCTCAGACAGCCTTTTGGCGGACTCTTACTGGCGCAGCAGTGGGGTGGGGAGTATAAGAGAATCGCTTCGGATAACAACATCACCGCACAAGTCAGGGACACGGCTTTGGTTGATGACATGATGGACGTCAGGATGCTGGAGATATTGTAGCTGCGAAGAATGGGACATTTCATTTCATGCATTGACAATACTTCCTCATGAACAGTGTCCCTTGAATTTTGCATTATATCGGTCTCGATATTGATATCGACGCGTCGTATTACTTATTTCGTCCCATGCTCTCAAAATTAGACTTCAAAATAATCATTTCCTGATCAGCATCCCTTGACGCGCACTTCTTATTAGAATAACTATCTAGATGTGTTCTGTAGTACTGATTATACCACCCTTAGTACTCAACTGATGATTTGACGAAGCACTTAGGTCGCTATTGAGAACCTCGGAACCTACGTTTTGAAACTTCAAGTGGCTATATATTACATAAGGTAGGTTTCCAAGCTTAGTAATATCGAGCTCTATAGACTGGCTCGCCGCTTTGCTGGCGGCATGCATCCAAAATATGTAAAATCTGCTAAGACTTGCCTCCCATCGTTCTATCTGCTCTATACTTTCAAGAACAGCAGCATGTGCTCGATCTCCCATTCTTCCTCCAAATGTAGGTACTGAGCTCGTTATTTTCGGTCGAGACTGATCCTCTGGTAGACCATGGGGAATGAGTAGGAAATGGGTGCGAAATGGTGTGTTTAAAGCTGTTCAAAGGCCTACAAAACTCGAAACTGATTTATGTACATGAATTTCTACTATTTTTGAACCGCCACAAACGTGAATCAAATCTTTCAAAATCAGCCGCTCTCGCTCGTGCCATGAAATGCGCAGTTCACACTCCCTATTTTTCGGTTTCTTGATCTCATCAATATATACGGTCTGAATACTCATTGCTGGGGATAGGTTTTTTCAGGGATGGGGGAAATTCTCCCTCTCCCAACTGGCTATTCGCTCCTCAAGCTCGTCGATGAGCTTAATCTTCTATAGTTCACCAGAGTATCCTATGAACCACGAAACTGGACTCATCACACATTCATTAACTCTGCATTCACGCGTGTACCATCACCGCCGCTTCGTGCCTCCGTTCCTGTCCACATCACTTGATTGCTCTTTCTTTGTACAACAACACAGCCCCCTCCTTGTTGTACAATCGCCCCCTTCTCTCCCTCTTTGTAAAACCTTATACTTTTCTTTGTACAACTGCCCTCGTCGCCACACATGTCGATCGTGTTGTGTCACAGGGAATTGGATACGATGCATGTACGTACTTTTGGTCGCATTTGTACTAATCAGCGTGTACATGAATCAGAAGACAGGTAGTGGATTCTGCTCGTGTCGTATTTGACAATGTCTGCCATGAGGTCGACTTGGGCCGTGTTGGATCAATGATCTAAATGGTGTCTTTGATGGGTCGAGGCCGAATCCCTCACTGTGGCAAGAATAATTCTGAATACCAAAAGAATACTTCGAAGATCACACTGGCAGGTTGCCGAAATCACGAACAGTTCTCCAGTCTTTTGGGACGATCAAATATTCCGCGCAAGTCGCTGCCTTGCGATCTCACCAACAACTTTTACCTTGATCCCATCGGCACCCCTGGATGCACATTGTCTTTCTACTGGAATTCAGGCTGAAACGCTTACTTCGATCAATCAGATATCATCCCTCAAATCTCAATTTGGCGATGTAAGCGCTGGACTGTGGTATATCAAACATGAATGCGATCATTATACGTCCACCAAGTTCCCCCGCTCGCTCACTCCCATCCTCTAATAGCATGGCTCTGGTCTCGAATGATCCCAGTTGGTGGCCACTCATCAATGCAAATATTATTTTCGACTATTTTACAGGTTCGTGTAGAGTTGGCCGCATGATGACGGTGATTATTTGATTCACCTTGACTCCAATTTCGCAGTTGCCACATTTGTTGGGTTAGTGTATGATTCGGGTGAGCAAGATTAAGGATGAAAGGACCACTGACATTCTTATGGTATTCTCAGCACTTACGTTCGGACAAGAGGTGCGTCGATCCATTACTAGGGCAGCCCACTCGCTTAGAATTGTGTTATAGGTTGAACTGATCTGGGTGAGCTGACTTCTACATCAAAAGAGCGACATGAAATTACAACTTGTGCACGGCAGAGGCAACGCTGGTCCCTGATGACCTTTCTCTTCCTCAGTGCAGGTACCTTGTGTTTCAATATTATGCACTTAGCAAGTCTAAGTTTTGATGATTTCAAAACGTCCTAGGTGCGCTATGTTGGTATAGAATGTGCTGTGTGCGTTTGGAAGTTTAAGCCGTTGATGTTGCGCTCATTACCCACCTCTCACAATCAGGATGTACACACTGAGTATGTATCCTCACATAGGCTCTGTCCCTTTCTTCTGACGGGCGGCGTACAGTCGGTGCTCCAACGGTTTCGATGACAGACACAGTGAGTGTTCTGTACCGATGCCTTCCATTCTCGTCTACACAATTGATCTACCATGCAGGGGTGAGTGAGACCCTCGAACAACTCGTCGATTCAACATAACGGCTCCCGCAGCTGTGAGTTTGTTTCGAGCCTGTGATAGTCCAAAGCTGATAACTAATGTTGCTGAATTTCTCAGGCCTTATCATAAACGATGTAATTGATTGGACGAATGACGTTCTGAATGTAATACTGGGCGGTGAGCTATACACCTCCGTGATATCGACTTGACTGAAGCATCATGCAAGTCATCATAATCACCCGGTTACATGCCATATATCAGCGATCCAGAAAGGTGCTGATATGTCTTGTCATTTTTGTAGCCATCAGAATCGCCAACGCAGTGATGATCGCCATACAGATGGAGATTTCAGGGGGTAAGCTTTAATTATGTATGAAATGTTTAAAGGCTCATTTGAGAAATATCAGAGGAATTCGTTCTCTCCGGCACTTATCAGTGCATATTTGGCTACGCAGGAGATTCTCTATTTCTGCAGTCCACGACTTGGATACTTGACACTGTATGGGAGGTTATTGCACTGTGTCTCGCGGTTTGCATTGCTGTGAAGCACTTCTGTGAACTACGACGATACTCAACAAGTGGTATTATTGGGGACTGTTTCACGGTGTTGATGAAAACTCACGCTAGTTACTTTGCAAGGTACACTCATAATGTGAATGTGGTTCTTGTTCCGCTGAAGTCTTGTATGTGCTAGTTTTTTTTAGCTGTCTCTTGCTTCGAGATTGGTTTATTCTCTCCAACACTCTCGGCAGTATGCAAGCTGTCACCGACCGCTACATGCGACCATGATTCATCATTTCTATAGGACACATATTCCATGGAGCTCAGATTTATTTTGGTTTCGCTCAGATATTCCACTTCGTGTAGTTGTTTGTGCTGGGACCACGCCTCATCCTCGATGTTCGAGAATATCACGCTAAGCTTGTGGTCAACTCTGATACAGAAATTGCTATGACTTCAATCTCTTTTCAGCAGCGCGTCCACATATCAACTAGCAGTAGTGTGTAGCGCGGGAGATGCTCTATAAAATTGATCCGTGATGAGCGGGTAGTGTGCAAGGAGTGGGAGAATCTGTTTTTATTGATTCTAGGTTTTGTCGTGATACTTATAAGTATAAATTGCGAAGTAGATATAAGTTATACAAGAGCCTGTAGCAAACTATGAGCAGATCATGGCGACATAGGTGTTTGACTGCGTCTTGTTGGGTCTCTGCAGTAAGAAGATCAAGCACCATCAACAGCACCGCGTCGTTCGTTGCCCCAGGACCCACCACATTCGCCAACGAAGTCGTTTAACACACCGATCAGTTTACCATTTTCCCTGTACCCCATCAAGTTTTCAGGGCTGATATCTCGATGATAGACACCTTACTCAATGATTACGCTGACTGAGTGTTGTCAGCAGAGTTGGTGAGGTAGAAAACTAGGACAAGAAAGACAAGGTAATTCCTATAACTTAAAGTGCAAGCAGACGAAAAATACAGCAATATAAACAAAGCCGTGAAGCCGTAGCAGACGAAAGTAGCACGACATGAGACTACACACCAATATGAATAAAAACCATCCTCTGCTCAAGCGGTACTTTCGCCTTCACGGCATTTGTAGCGCGGTTGAGCGCCCAGGCCGCTTTCGTACAGTCCATGACAACACCGTCCTCCGAATCACTGAACATATTCTCGTAGAAAGCTTCGACCACGTGTTTCACGACAGCATCATCAACCACCCACAGGGTGCCAATGACGCTCTTGAACCCAGAAAATTGGAGTCCAGCTGCGAGGTGGATGACCTCGTCGGGTGTCTCTTCATCGCCGACGGCGGTATGACATGCTGATAAGAATGCAAACTCAGCGTGCGGAGTGTCGTTCTCCATGATGTCAAGTAGCGTGAGAGGTTCATCTCTCATGGCGAAACGTGAATTGTAAGGCTGCTCGTGGTCCTGCTTTCCATGACAAGCGAGGTGTACCCAAGTGTTGCATTGCAATGCGTCGAGGGCACCTGCTCGCGTGGCGTCGTCGCCGGAGAGAGTGGTGGGGTTGGCGGTCATGGGGACGAGCTTGCAGACGAGCTCAAGCTCACTGTCGATATTCAAGAGCGCCTCGCCTTGTCCCACGCCCGGTGAACTTTGTCCGATTGCCGCAAAGGACGGAGTCACACGCGTCTTCATCATCTGTCTAGACCTGATCAGAGCTGAAAGTGTTGGTGTGTAAGAACAGATGTAGACATCCTCCAGGCATAGTTCCCGCCCACGTCCGTCTGCCTTTGTTCGAAAGAGGTGAGCTGCGTGGAGAGGAATGGAAGTGAAAGCTGCAGTTGGACACAGCCAGATTCGAGAGCGGCACGTTATTCTGAGATCTCGTTGGAGGACAATGACGATGGGTAGCATGATCTCGTCCCATACTGTCCGTAAGAGGACTTGTAATTCCTTCCTCGTCTCCTCTGGACGCATGCGAGACGCTTGCCGTATCTCCCTGGCAAAGTCCTTCTTGAACGTCTCCAGATGTGTGAGAGTGATGCGCGGGAAGCAAACATGGTGGGGCTCTCCTGACGTCGGGACAATGATGGCACTGCACGAGTATTGGCTTGCAATGAGGATGATGACTGGGCCATGATGCGCCGCCGCCTGCAAGTCTTCGTATGAAGGTGGGAGCAGGAACCGCGAGAAACCTTGAAGATTACGGATTTCAGCTACTGCAGCTTCCCATTGCGTTGTAATTCTCCTGTACTCTACTGCTGCCTGATCAGCAATAGCTCCGTCCGTGCTGACTGTGGAACCTTGAGCATCAGCCAGACACTTGCTGAGCTCTGAGAACTTATGAGCTATGTTAGAATTCGTGGACTCGAGATCTTCCAGCGGAGTCCTGAGTCGGGATGCCAATGACCACTGCTGACCACGACCCTGTTCCACGAGTTCAACTGCATGTCGCAGATCGTCACGACGTACAGCACATGAAGCTGCATCTATTGGCAATGATCGCGCACCGCGAAAAGCGGTCGCAGCCTCGCGCCGTGAGATAATCGTCGATCGCGTCATGATGTGGTTGTCGAAAAGCTGCAAGCACACTTGGTATGCTTCGAGGGCAGAGTCATGTCGATAAGCTTCTGCTTGGCGAGCCCAGTCTACAGCCTCTTTGATACGTTCCGGAAATCCTTGAGTGGGATGTCGTGATGCCAGTCTAAAGTTCTCCATAGCGAGTGACAAATCAGCAGACTTGCACTGCACTCTGTAACGAGACAAGTAGGCTTCCTGTAACAGCATGTAGCCGAAATATCTGTCTGGATGCAGTGAAGGCAAAGCCTCCAACGATTCTTGGCACAGTCGAATGGCCTCCTCGATATCTTCATTCTCATGAGTTTGCGTGAAACGAGAACAGAGCGCTGAGCTCAAATTGTGGAGATTTATGTGGCGCTCTGGATCATCAAGCCGCGTGAACAGAAGTGAATCCCGGTACAGCTCAATGATCTCATTGAGATCCTCGCTGGCATCCGATTTGGTTTGGAGCGCGAGGGCAAGGTTGTTAAGCGTGTAATCATGATATGGATTCCCAGGCGGGCACAATGTCAGTGCCTCGCGATGGAGGCTGATGGCTCTGATGATGTCGTTAATATCATTACAGTGGTTGAAACGGGTGAGGAGGGCAAGTCCGAGGTTGTCCAATGAAAAGTCACGATATTTGTTCCCAACGCGCAGCGCTTCTTCGTACAAAGAGATGGCCTCATTGAGGTCATGGAATTTGCCTTGGTAATCGAAGCGGAATTTGAGTGACAAGGCCAAGTTATTCAGGTAGGACTCGTATTTAGAATTTCCCCCGGGGCACAGAGAAACGGCTTCGCGACGACATTGAATGCACTCATCTAGATCGTCAATGCTACCACATTGTTTGAAGCGTCTTTCTACTGCCTGTGCAAGCTCGTGGAGGGCGCTGGGATGGTATTCATTGCCCAGAGGACAGAGCTCGAGCACGACTCGTCGAAGGTGAATGCATTCATCAGATGCGTCGGTTGGGAGATTGTTGCATGCGCGGATCACAAAGTCAATGCCATTTGCTCCTACCACGATGCTACGAAGGTAGGTGCCCTCTTGACAGAGGCGCAGTAGTTTGCAGGACAGTTGCGCGGATTCATGGATATAGGCGGCGGTGAAGTTCTCCTTGCTGTAGCGCCAGATCAACGCTTGAAGGAGGTGATAGATAGATAATGGATGATCGGGATGGCCCTGCGGACGCAACGCAAGGGCTTCGCGGAAGAGAGAAGTGATAGAGTCGATGTCTTGAGGATCGTTTTGGATGTAGTCTTGAAGGCGAGCCCACGCGAGGTTGGTAAGAGCTGCTGCCTGGTCAGGATGGCCGGCCTGACATTGGTCCAGGACCAACTGAAAATGCTGTATAGCATGGTTCAGGTGAGAGACTGTCCCGCTTGCCACATACGTGGCAAATCGTTCATGTCCCGCATCCGTGTCTCGAGCAATATCACATTCAACGATGGACTACAGTAGGTGTTCCATCAACAACATTCAACAACACAAAGGCCGATGTCGCTCACATCAAACAGTGCGCTGTCCTGATTGTCACAAGGATGCAGAACAGCAACCTTTAACGTGAGGGAAGAGTTATCACTACAAACGGGCAGGAAGGAGATGTCTGCGAGATATGAATATATGCGCATGAGTGAGAAGGAGGTTACTCACCAAAAGGCCCATCTCCATGATCGAGTAGCTCATCCCACGACATTTCTAATTTTGCAACGACTTTCCCATTGCCTAGCATTCGACCGAGCTCATAGGATACCCTGATCTCCACCGATAATTCAGGCACCTCGCGTAATGACCTACAAACGGATGATCAGTCCTCGAATCGCATCTGAAAGTTGTTATAGACTTTACAAGATCACGATGTCGCCCAACACTTTTGATTTGTCGGATGATAATACTCGAACGGGTGATTTCCAGCGCCTCCTCGAATCGACGTTAATAGAGACGTAAAAGCCTGCGGGTATGCGCTCGGAAGAAAGTGGAAGATCGTTCACACTGATGACTGTAGATAGGGCAAGAGGATGATGCACAAAATGAATACGAAGGTAATGTGGGACTCACGTTCAAGTCTGATATATTTGCCGTCCCAGTTACCGGGCATGATGATGGAATAACGAGGAAAGAGGATGGGCTGAGCGGTGGGTGGATAGCAGGGTAGAAATATGGGGACTGGATGAAGCTCGCGGCTGGTGAGAGGAGGGAGAGGATGAGGTTTCAGGCCATGCATGCACGTGTATTTACATGTGGTTGAGGGCAGTTCGGCACGATAGACGCCAGTTTGATTAAACCAAGTGCTAGATCACCAATTAGCATCAGTAGGACAATGTCAAGGTCAGTCAGCGGCGAAAGCACATCAATGCACCATAGTTGAAAGGAATATGCAAGCCTCAGAGCGTCCTGCAAACTCTACTCTCACCATAGTACTCAATTAGCACAATATTAGGCTAAGGCGCTAAGGCAAATCATGATATAGAATTTAGTATATTTCATAGTGCAGACAATACAAACCACTGAAAATGAAGCGCACATTGACTGAAAAGCCAAACTGTTCTATATGAGTCTGGTTGAGACCATGCCAAGGGTGTTGTGGAAAGAAAGGTAACAGTTTGCATGGGTACTCGAGCTCGGTCTTTGAGACGAACCCTCGTTATAATACGGGCGCTTCAATAAACCTGTACATAATAGGCTGTATAGTGCGTTCCCCAGGTTGAAACGTTGAAAATGAAAACATCGAATTACATAATGAAGTCAAAAGCGTGACTCAGATGCATCCATACTGAAGTACTGACGTACTGACATGTCAACACCTTCAACCCAATCGTGCTTAGGAAGACATGGGTGCACAAATTGGTGTGTGGGGATCTTGTGCGATACAGCCAGATCCCGCTTCGAATATTGTGGTATATCGGTCCGATCCATATGACCAACTTCAGGTGGTATGTAGAACCGCATTGTCACCGTCATCAAGACAGAATTATGATATATAGTACCAGCCGTCTCTCATATCAAGAGAATTTGGGGTAAAAGGATCACATGAACAACGTCCTTCTAGCATATCAGTGGAAGGCATCTACAAATCCTCTTTCCCTCCATCACTCGAATACCTCCTGTGCCATCACGTCCTTCACATCAAAGAAAGCTAGGTACTCTTTAACTTCGCATGTTCGGCCTTTTGCAAGTAGTTATTCCCCCCTGATATAGATTGCACGTAAGTAATGGAAAATAGGTGTAACGGTGAGTTCGTACGGTCATGTGTGTAATCAATAAACCCCAGGAATAAGCCTGTATCTCACTTTCTTTGCCCAATTCTCCCATTCTTTGCCCAGAGCACGCTGCAACATCTGGTCCTCCACTGCAGGTCGGTTGATGGAAATCCAAGCGCATAATGTGGTAGAGACAAAAAAGCCAGTCACTGCTAATACTTTAATGAAAGGCACTTGCAATATCCCAGACTGCCTCATCCACGATCCTTGACTTCCGTACATGATGACAGCGCCAGCACTTTGGAGAAGGAGGCCAGTGTAGCTTGGGTGGCGCACCACCGAGTATGGCCCGCTCGTCACAAGTCTGTGCTCTTTTCTGACGCTGAGGTGGTAGCTCCAAAGCTTCCCTAACGTCAAGATACAATAAAGCCTCAAGCGCCGCCAATTGCGACAGCAATACTGCCGACAAGGAAAGCGGGGGTGATTGGTGTAGGGTGAAGAACGCGCAAAAGCCGCACAGCTCTAGCGCCATAGATGCCTTCTGGAATATGGGAGGGTCCTATATGCATGGCCAGGATGCTAGCCACTTCAGCAGACGATGCTGCCCATGCGCTGATCTGTTATATTATCCACAGATCAATAAAGACAACGACCGGTGTTTAGGAGCAACCCACCCTCAGTAACTCCGTACTGCGAAGTTTCAAAAGCCATCCAACGAAGAATTCTAACGACGAGGGAACCACCTTCTCTTTAGACGATGGTGGCGGGGAAGGAGAAGTGAACGAAATATGAATACCAATGGCCGAAACCAGAATGAAGGGGATCTTCAATAGACTCATGGTGTGCCGTTGTATGTGACCTAGAGGTAGTTAAGAGGAAGTTGATAGGAACTGATCAAGTCGAAGGAGGAGGCTAGTATGATTTTTATATTGGAATGCTTAGTTGCCCTGTTCCAACCCGGAGCTTTGATCCGTTTCAACATGAGGTAACACTCAAGTCCAAACATGCATCACCCCCCCCTCAACACCGTCGCTTAGCATATGAAGCAGATGATTGCAAAACTACCATTAGAGTATATATCTTTAAGACCTATAATCTATACCCACTCGCCTGCGAGGTCAACCATCCAGCTTCGTCTGGCTCCAGAGTCACTGACACGATCTAATGGGTTGGGGTGTACCGGGCATCATACATCGACTCGGGGTGGGAGCCTATCAGCAGGTGGAGCCGCTCGAGAGGGCAGGATACCTGCTTACCAATTCGACCATGCCAAATGACTCTTCGAGTAGCTTTGGAACAAAATATGTACATATTCGTGAACCGAAGGTATTGTCATATATACCGATATATGATTATATATACATCTGCAAAACGCTGAAATTAACGCTTAGCTTAACCGCGTTACGAACAATTACGAACACTTACGACCTGTGTGATGGGCAGCTCTGATTGGTGGAGATGCTGGATGGGCATGCGAGATCTTGGAGTGACGTGATGGCTCGCAAGGTAATCAGGATAACCTTAATCGTCGTGTTCAGCCATTGATTGAATCGCACTACCACAAATGAAAACAGGATTCACTATACTATGTAGACAATCACAATGACTCACTAGTAGTCTCTACTGCATCTAAAGCTACTGCTAATGCGTGATACATCTCTTTGTCTGCAAAGTTGTTAAGGAAAAAATTGTCAAACAGCTCCATCAACATGTTACTCCCAACATTCTTGTTCAATGGTCCTTCGTAAATGGGTATCAGCTCTACTCCATGAGTGACATTGGTGAGATGAACTATAACAGTCAGTTGCTCTCCATATTGTGGATGCGAAAGATCAGCATTCCATGAGTGCTGGACTCTCCACATGCCTGTCAATGGCTCTGGATCTCCTCCAACAAAATTGAAAGGCTGAACAAGCACAAAGACTTGATTCAGAAATGCTGGCACTTCTGTGGATGAGTACTTCTTTGTGGTCAGTTAGAATACAGCACGCACTTGAGCTACAAAGGGACTTGCAGTAGAATACACTCAAATATCAGTATTGTACATGAAAAATAAAGAAGAAGCGTACGTGTGCTTCCATCACTCTGGCCAACAAGCATGGCATCACAGTGGCCAGAAGGAAATGCTTCAGATGGAGGGTCAGCCTGCATGACTTGACTGGGCATGATACTGTGTTCATTGAAAGTGGAGTGAAGTTGAATGCGGAATTTGTACCAGACATTGAACAACAGTTGATTGAGCTGAGTGTTGAGATCTGCATGACCTCTCATAGCGATGAAGTTGTAAAAGACTGGTAAAAAGTCAGGAATGTGATACATTGATTGGAGATCAGATGCAGCCAGGCGTTTGCGACTGGGATTGAGAGTAATGTTGAAGGCAACCCTCACATTGTTGGACATGATCCCTTTCAGAAAGTGATTGTGCACTGGCCATGGGCTGTGCAGACATTTCTGAGCTTCTGGGTTAATACAGGATATCCACAATAAGGCTGGGTCGGTGTCTGTAGCAGCGACTTCGTCATCTTCTGTAATGATTGCATTGATGAGAGGATTGCCTGATTGGCGCGAGGCCATGGTAGATGATGACGATAAGAGTGTGTAAAGTTTGAAAAGGCATATAGCCTCTTCCCAATTGAGGATTTGTGCGATCTGTTTGACAAAATCCTTCTGGCAACTCGTCTTCTTGAAGGGATGCTTGCAATGTGTAATTAAGAGATGCTCAGAAACATCAGCTGAGTATTGCATAAGTGAACTGACATGCTGGATGATACGGGTGAAGCTTTGCATAAGTTCAAGTTTGGGAATAAAAAAATCGTCCTTGACCCTGCCTTTTCCTTGCCATGCCTCTGCTGTAATGATGGCATGCTTATAACGATGAAACTCGTTTAGTGCATAGGTCATGTTGCGAATGCTGGTGGGTGTGTGAACAAGATTCTGGGCAAGATAGATGAAATCGGGAGGGGCAGCTCCCCACATTGTAGGGACTATTGTGCGCTGGATATCCTGATGTTCTCTTCCTGTCATCTGTTTCACATGAGAGACACCTGATCCAAAGTGGCATACCCCAATGTGCTTATGCTGGCTCCTGAAATGCACATCCAACTCATGATCCATAACTTCTTTAGTCTACTTCAAGACATGGTCGAAGAAGAATTTAAGGAGGGTGTGAAGAATTTCTGGGGTGAGGAATTTTGCTGGGTTTGCAGACCTCCAATTCCTCCAGAATGGGAGGTGTATGCCACTCAAGTGCAGCTTCTTCACTTCTTTGTTGAACTGGTAAAGGTCCCAAGGATTGACCCTAGCACAAAGACCTCGTATGAGCTCATATGTATCTGCGCCATTGCAGGGGGGGTGTGGCACAGTGTCCCTGAACTCTGCCTGATTGGCTGTTGTGATAGGAGATGAATTCTTTGTGACGCATGCTATCATGAGTTGCTCAGGGAGATCAGCGATATGGCTAATGAGGGGAGTGAAGCAGTGATGCCAGTGAGCCGAGGGATCGGCCATAAATTCCCCAACACGCACTGCCACCTTAAGATTCGACATAATGAAGTCCATGCATCTGTGCCACAAATGTGATTGAAGGAGTGTTTGGTAATCCAAGTTCACCAGGAAGGTCGGTGTTGGCATGAATGCCACACAGCGCCAGGCATGTGATGTGGCCTTCATCTGAACATCCAATTGAATATTTCCGATGGTGAGGAATAAGGGATGCATTTTGAGTCCACCTGTGTGTCATGTGATGGGGGTCTTGTCTGAAGCCATAATTATTGGGACAATTGTAGCTCCTGGGGGGAGCTGGTCCTAGAACAAAGGGTTAGTTGAGGTTAGTTATAAATGAGACATGTACTTGTATAGACCAGGCATCATCTGACGTCCAGAATTCTCCTATCTCTCTCTCTGTCCCATTGTGGACGATATGGGGGTCATAGCACATATGATTTGTGTAGATGGGATTCGCAAAAAGTTGTTTCATGACCTCCAAAGCATCCCTCCAGATAAGGTAGATTGGTTGTATGGACTCGTAGCCCTTGATTTGAAATTCTGTACACTGCCATTTTGGTCCATGCCCAGGAAGTGATTCCAAAAAAAAGAACAACTCATCCTTGGATTTGAATGATGGCCGCTCTCATGTTTTGAACTAGAAACATTTATCATGCTCAATGTGAGGAAGGAATAACTACAAGAGTCCCCACACCCATTCTAGCTTGAGAAATTGATCAATCTGAGTCTGCGAAAGGTTTTCAACCAGGAACCTGCCAAGCAACCATTCACCTGGGCCATCAAAAGGGTACCACGGATTGACTGTTTGTTGAGGCTGAAGATCATGTTCCTGCATTTCTTGGAAGATATTATGGGGAGGTGGGTGCTCAGGAAGTATGTAGTGGTAGCCAGAGGTAGGGTGGTATTTTCCTTTCACATTACTTTCTGGTGCTCGTTTCAATCCTTTTGGTGCAGGGAGCATTTCAGATGCAGCCATATAACACGAATCTGCACTGTTTAGATGATCCACAATAGCCTCATGAGATTCGTACTGCTTCTTGCAGATAGGACATGAGATATCAGCTGTCCTAGGAGTAGCACTGGAAAGGTGTCAGATGCAATAGTGCATGCCAAACTAACCTCTACGGACCCAAAATGTCCAGTTCCGAAGGCATCAAGGTCATCTGTAAATTCCTGGAAGAAACCTGCATCATTTGGGTTGTAATTTCCTGGCTGTGGTTGCTATGTAGTTTCTGGTGGGTTGAACATGATGAAGTCTGCTGCAGCAAGTCTTCCATTCACCCGAAAAATGCCTAAGTCTTTTGTAGTCCGACTGTAGAGTTGGACTATGAAAGACTTAGGCATTTTTTGGGCAAGTCAAAACTCAATACAATAACTTATTGTTGTACCATCATAGGCCCACCATACACAGCACATCAACATTGTGTAGTTATAAATGTCTCCTGCATGTATTGCTCTACATAGGTCCTACTCTGGACCCACACCTCATCCTTCTAGTCCCCTTCATTGCACCCAAGATGATATCACCAAGTCCAACAATGTTCTTTCCTTCAATCGACCAAAGGGTCATGACCCATGTTTAGATGATGTCTTCACAACAATGGAGAGCTCTCCTCCAAGCATAATGGATTCACAGCATATGATCCTTTTAATGCCTGAGTCAAGAGGTTTCCCTTATCTTGGGGACTCTCTTTCTTCCAGGAGCTCTCCCTCTTCTAGGAGCTCTCCCTCTTCTGGGGGCTGTCCTTCTCTTGAGGACTCGGGTAATGGATCTGTTGGACTATTGCATAGCCCAAAGAAAGCCACTGGATATCAACCCTACAGGACGCTTTCCACCAAAGAAGAACACATGTTTGCAAACATGATAGGAAGACATACTATCTGTGATGATTCAAGCAGTTCAAGCAGTGACAGTGATCCAAGCAACACAGTAGGATATGGCTACTATATACAACATTCTGAGTAACACTAAATTTATTTCTAGAATTTAAACATCTTTTCATGTGGCATCAGGTCATTCAATCGAGAGGGAGTCTGCCGTGTGCTAGCATACAAGGAAGCTGCACAAGAGCACAGATGGGCTCATGTTGAGGCTTCTGCTTGGGAAATGGAGGAGATGAAACAGCTGCAGCAGGTCATTGAGTATATTGGTGATGTGGAACAAGACAAGTGGGAAATTGCAGCTGGTGAAGCCGAAGTCTTCAAGCACTTACTGATTGACTATGATGAGCAGCAAGCATCTGAAAACATTGCCCGTCTCACAGTCATCTGTCCTAAGGAGCAATCTGAACTTGATGTTATCAATGACAAGCTTGATGAACTCCAGCTACATGCCATCCAAACCAACCTTCCAATCATCAAAGATGATACTGGCACTGGTGTGGTAGCTGATAAATCCAATGATCTCCAAGCTGATAAGGATATCAGCTTGGGCACATAGATCAGTCTGATTATGCGGTGCATACAGTCCTTAATTACATTGACAGATGCATTGATAAAGTGTCTTATCAGTGGAGGAGATTGGGTACTAAATCTTAGGTGCTCAATGTCATTGGGTACCATATTCCTATCTTTCAAATCTTTCAGTTCTTGGTGGTGTATTTATCAAACCCCTTTTTCAATTCAATGATAGATGGCATCACATCAACATGTGCTGTCCCACATGTATACCTTCCTTACCTATTCGAGAAATCCATTATGATCATCACCACACTTGTTTACATTGAGTGATCAGCAACCTAAGGCATGTAAACTGACTCATAAGAAACAGCCCCCACCAAAGTCAACTCTCTAGATCCACACATGCCACCTGCAAGTACTGCCAGAGGTACTGGAGGATGATGAAGATGCGGTGCAGTAACCAGGGTACATGTTCCATGATGGACTTGGCTTTGACTCAGCTGACTACTCGCAGAATTACCCAGTTGTTAGACAACCTGGACTTAATATCACTGGGAATCAATCCAGAGACCAAGTGGGCAGTACGGCAGAACAACCGCCATCCATCATCAATGATATAGAATTCTCCTACAACTCACTGCCTCCCCAGCATGCGCATCCCCAGCACTTGCCTCTCCAGCACACACCTCCCCAGCACTTGCCTCTCCACCATGCACCTCCCCAGCATTTGCCTCTCCAGCATGCACCTCCCCATCATGTGCCATCGCAGCACCCCCAGCAATTGCACCTCGACTACTACATGAGGCCACCCAGCACTACCATTATACCACCCAGCTACTGAGGGGTGATAAACTCACCTTGAAGGTCTGTGCTCACTGGGGAGTACCCAAGGACATCTGGTCCTGATCAGAATGTTCGAATCAGACATCATGACCCATCGAGATTCAAGGTTGCATATGCGCTTGCACTGATGCGCTTCCGTGATGATGTACCAGGCCTATTCACAGACAGCGTGGTACTTGTAAGTCTCATTTTATCTATGCATTAATTTTTTATTGATTGAAACCAAGGCCATAGGCAACAATTCAACAGTAGAGAGGACGCAAACACAGTGTTTCATGCCCCCTCCTCTCGCACCACCGAGGGGAGTAGCTTCTACATCTTCTACCTCAAATTTGCAGCCTCAGCCTGCACCCGCATCCACATCATTGGCTCCAATTTCACGGCCCACACCTGCATCCACACCACCTGGGACCTCAGCAGGATCATCTTCATTACTAACTGTTCCCCTGTCCTTTGCACCCTTGGACTCTAATTTACCCTATAACCCCAAAAATGCCACTCATAAAGAAATAGCCAAGGTGGCGAAGAAAAACCTGACGGGGAAGGTAATCAATGAATGTGGGTTACCAACCCATGATCAGAAGGAGACCTTCATAGAGGTGAGCTTGTGTGTTGCCCTTTCGTCAATTTTCAATGAACATAAGTTGCATGCCCAAATGTGTACATTCTGTCATTAATGAATTAACTTTATCAGAAACTTCGAAGCTGTGGGCCTCAAACAACATCACTGCAATGTACAAGACAGTGGCTGCACCTGTTTCGATCATACTTAGTGTGTTTGGAACTGTTGCACAAGGACTTGTCCAAGTCCTATACGACTTGCACCCGTCGATCTGGTCATCTGTATCCGAACTCCAACACAAGATTGTTGTGGTGGAGCACCTCACAGACGAAGAAACACTCAAGTTCATTTATGGATGAGTTCACAAAGTGAGTTGATTTATATTTCATTGAATCTCACTGAACAATTACAGCTGCCTAATGGACAAGATATTCGCTACCCATGTCATATCCCATATGCCAGATATAGATCCCATCATATTCTCACGCTTTCCGGACCTATTTCCGGACCCCATATCCAATTCATCCCTGGATCCCCTATCCTGTCCACCCTATGCACATTCCATCCAGCAAGACATATGGACTTTACCACCTCTTGGATTCTGGACTACATCCACCACCTCACATATCTCAGTCCTGTTTCCACCCTGCCTTCCGGATCCCCAGATCTCCGGATATTAACTGTACTATCTCTGGACCATTCCCACCCTCCATCCGAGATCCTGCGCCTATCCCCATTTAGGCATCTCCATCTTTCTGGTTCTCAGTTATCTCTGTTTCCATCTTGCTGATTGATCCTTGTGTTACGCTCAGCGTTCGTAAGAACGACTAAACGGTCACAAAGAGTCTAAAGCGTACACCTATGTACGAGTCGTGCGAGTTAAGCAGTATATTGCAGGCCCTGGTCTGCGTAGGTCAAGTTAAAGAAGTACAAGCATAAGAGATAGAGTATATATAAGGAGATTAAAGTGGAGCTTTAATAAATGAATCAGAGATGGAAAATGAATAGCGAATCACAAAAAGAAAAGAGAATCGTACGATAGAATGTAATAGAATGTCTGAGAATGATAAGTAAGCGTGAATAAGTGAAAAGGTGAAAGAAAAGAATAAGAACTGTAACATTACCCCTGTTGTAAGGGTAGTAGACACCGACTACTATCAAAGAAGACGATGCGATCATTTATAGTTAGTGAGAAGTTCGGAAGCGTTACCTAGTTCGGCTTCCTTCATCCATTCGTTCTCGGAACTCGGGAATCCCTTCCATTTTACATAGTATTGTCTTCGTGATGAAGATCCGCGGTGTCCGACAACCGCTTCAACTTCGTGTTCTTCTTTGCTGTCTACCAAATCAGGAGAAGGCAGAATATAGTTAGGGCCATGGGTATCATTCTCTTTATAAGGAGAGAGGAGTGCGGTGTGGAATACCGGATGAATGCACCATTGTGACGGTAGCCCGAGTCGATAGGTTATAGGGGATAATACATCGGTGATTATGAATGGTCCTTCGCGTTTAGGAGCGAGTTTCCTATTGGGGTATCCGAGGTGGAGGTTTTTGGCTTCGAGCCAGACTTTATCGCCTTTAGAGAATGGTACAAATTTAGACGTAATTCGTTGACGCATAGTATTGCGTGCGAGTTCGTGGGCGGCTAGCGCTTCATCGCATGCTTTATTTAGTAACGATAGTCGTTGTTCAATATTAGGGATGTCGGATTTCGGATGGGAATCAGGAAGGTGACGTGGATGATAGCCCATCATGAGGTAAAAAGGGGAAGTACCACGTGCTGAATGGTGGCACGAATTATGGACAAATTCGGCTAATGGCAACATGGGCGCCCAACCAGTTTGGTCGTTGGCGCAAAAGATCCGGAGGTAGACTTCGAGTTCTTGGTTTACTCGTTCGGTCTCTCTGTCACTCTGAGGATGGAATGCGGTGGAGAGGGAGTTCTTGTACCCGAGGAGCCTTCCGAGTTTGATCTGGAATCTGGAAGCGAACTGAGGTCCGCGGTCAGAGATAATTTTATTGTAAAGTCCGTATCTAGAGAAAACTTTAGAGAAGAAAATGTTCGCAACGCCTTCAGCATCAATAGTTTTGAGACAAGGGGTGAAAATTACCCCCTTCGAAAGTCCGTGGTCGACCACGACCATAATAGAGTCGAAACCGTCTGAAATAGGTAAGTCCGTGATGAGATCCACCAAGCAATGAGCAAAGGGTTGGTTGGAAATGGGGGCCGGGATAGGGGAGAGTGGTGGAGTAGAAGGGTGCGTGTTTACTTTATTCTGTTGGCAGATGCAACAGCCTTCTACGAAGTTCTTGACGAATGTGGCTAGACCTGGCCACCAATAGTCGCGAGATAGGAGTTCCTGGGTTTTAAAATGTCCAGGGTGTCCGGCTGTGGGAGAGTCGTGGTGTAGGGATGTGAATTCTCGTCGGAGATCTCCAGGGGGTACATAAGTAAGTCCTTTGAATGAAAGAATTCCGTCGCTCAATTTCCAATCGGAAAGAGCGGATCGGAGAGGGGGAGGAATCGAAGAGTCTGTAAGCGCTTGAAGCGCTGTATGTACTACAGGATCAATGGAAGAAGAAATACGTAGTCTGTCCGTAAAAGCAGTGTCAATGACGTTAATAAACATCGAGTCTGGGAGAAGTTGGATACTAATATTATCCTTTTCGTCACTATCGACTGGAAGGTGATCCGTTCTACGGGAAAGGAGGTTGGGAACGATAAGATCTTTCCCAGGTACATGTTGAATTTGGAGTTCGAACTGGGAAAGGAAAGTTTGCCATCTAGCTTGACGGCGGTTCAAGTCTTGTACATCTTTGAAATAAGTAAGGTTCTTGTGGTCAGTCTGTACGGTAATGGGATATGGAGATCCGAGGAGATAGTGTCGCCATGCTTTCAAAGCATGGATGATCGCTAATAGTTCTCAGTCATAAATCTGGTAATTCCGTTCAGCGGGGTTAAACGATTGAGATAAAAATGAACATGGAAGCCAGTCTCCATTATCGTTTTTCTGGAGGAGTACTGCTCCGGTTGCATAGAGCGAGGCGTCGGTAGCAATCGCAAAAGGGGAGTTTTTATCGGGTATCTGGAGGATAGGAGAGGATGTGAAAATATGCTTCAGCTTATTAAAAGCTTCCTCGCGTTCGAATGTCCAAGAGAATTCTTCGTCTTTCTTGGTTAGGTCGATTAGGGGTCTAGCAATCGAAGAGTAATCAGCAATAAACCGTCGGTAAAAGTTAGCGAATCCGAGGAATGACCGGACTTCCTTCACTTTCGTGGGAGTCTTCCATTCGGATATACCCTTTAATTTGGCAGGGTCCATAGCGATAGAACCGGGTTTGATGATCATGCCAAGATATTCGATATTGGTTACGTTGAACGTACATTTTTCGGGTTTTAGGTGAAGGAGGTTGTCGCGGAGTTGTTGGAGTACTTTGTGAGTACGGATATGGTGGGTTTCATCGTCCTTTGAAAAGATTAGTATATCGTCCATATAAATGATAATCCACCCCTCCTGGATCATGTCTCCGAACAGATCGTTCATCATTGACTGGAAGGTAGCAGGTGAATTACACATTCTGAAGAACATGACCATGGGTTCAAAAAGTCCCCTAGAAGTGGCGAAAGCTGCTTTCCATTGATCAGTTTTTCTCATACATACGTTATTATAGCCCCATCGAATGTCCATCTTGGTAAAGATCTTGGCATCCTTCAGCTTATCTATAAGATCAGAGATTAGCGGTAAAGGGTAATTATTCTTAACCGTGTGTTTGTTCAAGTAGCGATAATCTTGGCAGGGTCAGAGGGAACCGTCTGTTACGGCGAACCGTAGGTCGACTAGGATAGGCGCGACGATAGACACTCGATAAGAGTGACGTCTAAAGTCGGGTCGTAACCTCACAAATGTAAGGCCTCTTTAAGACAAGTTAGAGAGAGTGTCTCCGACTTGAATATCGATATCAGACACTTAAGATTGGGGGTCTTAAGCGAAGGATGTTCTGGGTAAAACCTAGTAGATTAAAGTGAAGACTAACTAAGTACAAGACCTGCTTATATAGGTAGGGCCTGCTTTAGGGCCGGTACGTATACGTCATCAAGACGAGTCAGAGATAAGAGGAATGACGTCATCGAGACGAGTCAGAGATAAGAAGAATGACGTCATCGAGACGAGTCAGAGATAAGAAGAATGACGTCATCGAGACGAGTCAGAGATAAGGGAAATGATGTCAGCTAACGATGGCATGAGGCGGTCGTGCTGTAATACATGGACATGATAATGGAGTTGGTCTAGTGATGGCACGGCGAAGTGCGGTCATGACGTAATACAATGGAGAAAATGATAGGGGGGCAACCATTACTGTAACACCGTCTTTCTTCCCGACGAAGAAGAATGGAGAGGATTGAGGTGATTCGGAAGGAACAATTGTCCCTTTAGCTAGATGTTCGTCAATGAGATCATTCATAGCCTTTTCTTCTTTGGCGTTGAGCGGATAGATTTTGCATTTCCGCGGTTCGAAGGATTCTTTGAGGTCGATCTTGTGGTCATATTTGCGTTCTGGAGGAAGGGTACCGTTAGCTACATCACCAAATACGTCCTTATATTGTTGGAACTCTTCGGGTACAAGTTCTTCGAAGGTTTTCTTTGGTTTGGCGGCGTCTTGGGCGAGTGTCTGTGAAATATTGTCAGTTTTCCGGATATAGGTGTAAAAGTCGTCATCATTGTTGATGGGATCTAGAAGATGTGGGAGGGTTTCGTTAGCAGGGTCCCATTCTGGTTCTAATTCTTCTAGAGCATCATAAAAGACATCTTCATCTTCTTCTACTTCGGTGATAAATGCTTTCTTTAGGGTACGCTCCCTTAAGTGGACT